TAACCATCGGGCTTACTGATGTTAGTTTTCATTCTGGTGCAAGACTTTTATCTAATCACAGACCAGTGACTCCAATTAGCAGAACACACTGAGTCACATTTGTTCATATCACAAGGCTCTTTCCATTCTGTTTGAGGTTGGGATTCTTTTTTATGTCTTGAGTCAGTGTTGTCATAAATTTTATTAAGCTCCAAGTGTGAATTATGATAAGTGAGTGATAAATCATTGGCTATTTTGGTGATTTCAGTTCTCAGCCCTGAAGGACTGAGTCTTGGCTACTCTCATGAGTAAGATTATTGTATTAGTCAGTTTTCTGTAACAAAATACCAGAGATAATAATTTATAAGGAGGAAATGTTGGTTTCACTCATGGTTTCCATCAAATATAGCATTGGCCCCATTGCTTAAATCCATGGCAAGACAATACATCCTGATGGTAACATGTGACAGAGGAAGTCACATGGAGACCAGGAAGCAAAGGAGAAAGAGGAGACTGGCACCCAATATCTCCTCAAGGGCATACCCCTAGGACCTAACTTACTTTCTGTAAGCTCCACCTCCTAAATGTACCACTACCTCCCCCTACCCCCACAGGCTGGGATCTAAGCCTTTAATACCTGAGCCTTTGGGGTATGCTTCTAAACCATAGCAGCTACCCATTGCCTGGATTCCTTTAATCCAGCAAGGAAACATCCATTCATTAGCCAGAAACTGGATCCCCTTAGAATGTCTGGTGTAGCACCAACCTAGATTGATGAGTTTGGGTAAATATATAACAACTACTCTAGTCGAGATAGAAAATGTCCCCATTATTCATTTTGCCTCTGTTTACCACCATTCACTCACAACTCTATACAACTAACAACTGCTGTAGCCTAAGAGTATCACATGTTCAGTTTGGCTCATTATGTTGTATAAAGTGAATTATTTCCCATTACTTTGTGTGTGGCCTGCGGGGTATTTGTGTGTGCATGGATTGAAGTAAGTAAGGATTGAACCGCACACATACAAAGCCTGTGCTTTACCACTGATCCACACTCCTAGCCTTACTGCCTCTCCATTGTTTTTTAACCAAGCCTCAATTATCAAAAATAATTAAACATTACATTAAATAACAGTGCAAAATAACACTATAAAATTACAGCATCCATGCATAATTTAAAGAAAAAAAGCAAACCAAAGAAAGCAGTAGTTGGCACTATTCAGTTATGCTCTCTGTTTTGTTCATATTTTTAAAATCTCACCTGTTATTGAGCTACTTCTTGAAAGCAATATCTCTTTGGTCTCAGAAATCAATTTTGTACTTTTATAAAATATATATCTTAAAATCTGAGTCTGGGCATCTCTTAGCCATACTACATTAATAATCAGGTTGTACTACAAGGAGGAAAAGTCAGTCCAAGAGCTTTTGCTGCTTCACTCCTCTGATTTGAGGTATATGCTGGAGAACCAGAGGAGGAAGGTAATTGGGTTTTGTGGAATTTATAGGTATTTGGGTAACTCTTTGTTGGGGGTAGAATAGGCACCCAAGAGAGACATATTAATCTGGTCACAGTCGTGGATGTGACCAGGAACTCCTTGATGTCCCCCTTGCTTGGGCCTGGAACGTAGGCTGGCGAATCCACGATCTAGGTCCAAGCTCAAACTTGAGCAGTTCATATATTGTTTTTGTACATCATTTTCTTCATCGATAAAATGAGGATTAGAATAACTCATAATAGGCTGAGAATGGAGCTCTGTGGTAGAGCATTTGCCTAGCATATGTGAGGCCCTGGGCTCAGTCTCCACCGCCACAAAGAGATTGCCTCATGGAGTTGTGGAAATAATTATTCAACAAGTCATTCACAAATATTACTGATATCTGCTATTTGCCACATACACTGTGCTGAATTCTGATGATAATCACAGTGAACAAAGTCTCTTCTCTCAAGACTTTCACATGTCCTCATGAGGAGAGAGATCATGGAGGGAGAGGGGGATGGGGATGAGGTCAGTGAGGTATATGGATGTGAGTTGGAATCCTTTGTGAGGGCTTTGAGTTCTACCCTAAATGATAGGTGGAGCCATATAATGGTTTCAAAATGAGGAATAACCAATATACCTTACATTTTCCAGGATTTACTGTGTCTGCTAAGTTGATGCTAAATTATAGATAGGCAAGGATGAAAATAGGTAGAATAATTATGTCATCTCAGCAATTGGGGTGAAGGGCGGTGGTGGCTTGAATTAGTATAATAGCAGCAGAGGTAATGGGATGAGCTTGTGTTTTGAGGGTAACCGGCAAATTTGCTGATAACTTAGATGTGGAGTGTGGGAAAAGCAGAGAAGGCAAAGGTTAGTCTCCATTGTTTGGCCATTCACTGATATAGGGAGGACTCCAGTACATGTTGGTTTGGAGGGAAATCTAGAGTTCATTTTCTAGATATGCTACATATTTTTGGAGGTGATGTTGCTGGAGATGGAACTCAGGACCTTTTGCACATTAAAGTAGGTGCACTTTACCACTTTACACTACACCCCAAGTCTGTGCACATGTAAAACTTAAGATGTCTATATTATGTCTCTCTTAGGTATTAGCACGTCTACATTAGATATTCAAAATGTCAAGTATCCAGTTGAATCTAGGAGTCTGGAATTTATGGGTGGGAGATCACATGGAGATAAACCTAGAGGATCCTTTACAGACTGAAAGCTGGATCAAGGCCTCAATTGTTGATGGAGAAGTGAGGAGGGCAGGACATCACTTTGAGGATTCTCTGGTGAGGGTGGTGAGGAGGAATCAATAAAGAAGGCTGGGAGATAAGGGGGTGACCATCAGCATCCAGCTTTGCTAGTACAATTGAGGTTGACCACTTTGTATGAGAGAGTAGATAGAAGTACCCCAGATGTCCTATGCACCAGGAGTGTTTAACTAATTTAGATCTCTCCTTATCCTCTTTGCTTTCTTTTCTGTATGGGGTGGTGGAAAACCTCCCCCAGGTACATGAGTCCTGAAAGCCTTACTTGGAGAAATGTTCTAAATTGTTGCTGCCTGAAGTTTACTTAAGCCAATGTGAACTCTCCTGGTGAGGCACGACGCCTGCCTACTAAAATCACATGACTTCAGAATGGAGTTTCTAAATATATCATCTTGTTAAAACTCATAAACTTGCAGTGCTCTGTTGTCTTTGAAGAAAAAAAAAAAAAGAGGAGACTAGTGTTTGGAAGGGCTCACCAAGTTCTGGGCAGGATGCCTTCACATAAAATTGTTTATTTCTTCCTATATGCATTGTGTGTTTATTATCTATAACAATTTGGACTTGCATTGCTCATTGCCCTGGTAATAGTTATTGTTTTTTGGCCAGTTCTATTTCTGAGTTTTAATGAATCAATGGAGTCTAGTAAGTCTCCCACCCCCAGCCTTTTCTGTGTATGATTTTCATTTTATAAATGCTGACTCAACCTATTCTTAAGCAAGCCCCTGATAATGTTTTATGGTGATGCTAAGTCTTATTCTTGTCCCTGAAAGTTGTGTTCAAAAAATTGGATAGCAGTTCACAGCTTGCAAAGCATTCCTTTATACAAAAATGTATTTGAGCCTTGCAATCAGTATGAGATAGGCAGACTAGTTATATTAACTTGCTTGTTTTCAAAAGCATTGGTGTGTTGTTCCCTTTTTACTCTGCATTCTGTCCTATGTTGCATTGTCTCCTTTCTTAGCTGCAGATGATAGGTTGAACTATTCCTGGGTTCCAACGAATGCTGAGAGTTCAGTTGGAAAAGAAAATGTACATACATCTTAATTTTTGTTTGCTTTGCATAAGACTGTTGTAATGTTGGGAATCAGGAGGTAGATTGACAGGTTTGGGTGGAGAGAGACTGAAGGATGTTACTGAGAAGCAGCTAAGTCCAAGTGTAGAATATTACAGAGTTTAGTGGTCACAGCAAGCTATATAACTCCAGTGATGGGCTCTTGCCTGGCAGCTTGAACCAAAACTAAAATGATTTTAGAAAATTGAGTTAATTATAATTCTTATTCTACTCTTTTGGAAATTGCTGGGAACTGCAATGTTTCCAGCCTACTATTTAAACACTCTTGCAGATAAGGTATTGAGCCAGTAAAATTTAAAACAGCATGCAGAATTGCCATTTTTTCTTTCTGCATCTTAAGGGAGTGTTCCTCCTGTGACTTATTTCACATTGTTAACACAAGGATATCCTTGCCTAATAGTTCTCTAAAATATTTTCATCCTCTCACAATTATTTCATCACTTTGTACCTTGCATTGTATTTGGTTGAGGCTTAAGGAATGAATTTGTACATCATGTTATATTAACAAAATGCAAGGATTTCAGTGGCCAGGATGATGCCTTTTTTATGTTTGTTACCTCTCAGAGCTTATTTAAATAATTCAGTATTTTGTACAGGATGGGAGTTCAATGAACATTTGTCTAATGGACCTGAATAAGCACTTGTAACTGTGGTATTGATTGCTTTATACAGTAGTGAATTGAAAATGTGTAATAACAACTAAAGATATGATCTCATTGAATTTGTTTTTATTTATTTTATTAATTTTCTCTATTTGGCATGCATTTTTTTTTGCATGGACACTCTTTTTATATTTGTCTATTTACCAATGTGTCTCAACATTTATGGAAGTTAAGTTGCCTTATATATTTTATTTCAATCTCTTGTGGATAATTACCTGGCATTTGTTAGCAGAGTGTGACTTTAACAGACTTTCTCCTAATAATTTAAAATTACTTGAAATACACTTTCTCTGGTGACTTTAGATATATTTGTTTCTATCTCTTGGTCTTTGAAGAGAGCCAAATGTCCTGGCAATTCTGTAAAGCCAATATAATCCCTATGCCAAAATGTACTTGCATATTTTCAAAAGCCAAGATTATTATTTACCTAATAAAAATGCCTTTAAGTGTTCTATGATAATAAAGTTCTATGTATTTATTAACATTTTAATAGAAATTATCTGAAGTCTTGTTTTTTTGTACATGGTAGCACAGGGAAGCTCAAACATGAGTGGTTTCTCCAGAAAGATTCTGAAGGGGACACACCTTCTCTTATCAACTGGCCTTCCAGGTACATCTCACATTGTAAAACTTGTGGCTCATGTTTAATGGATGCTTTTCTGTTTTCCCTTGGACTTGGCTTTGCTATTCCACACTTTAGCTAATGCTGACTCTCCTCTTGCCCTCTTGTTAGTGGCAATGCATTTGAAAACCATGTGTTCAAAAAGAACTTACTTTCAAATCATTGTTTTCTCCTCGCATCACCCTAATCCATGCTGATAGCATTTCTCTTCCTCCTTTCCCTCTCTCTGAGGATCTTTTCTATACCTTTTGCTTTTCCCCTTTCTCACCAACTCATATAGAACTGGCCAGTTGGGGGCAGTAGTGAGTGCATAAGCAGATGTTGGTCCTTGGAATCTCACTGAACAGCCAGCCAGTGTTTCCTCTTGCCAGAGCCCTCTCAGCACTCTGGCTCCTTGTTTTATGTCTCCTGGTCTCTAAACTCTGGCATTTGTAGTTAATTTTCAACAGTAAATTTAGGGCATGTGGTTTTAAAAGCAGACAAAAACCCCTATCATTTCATTTTTTAAGATTGGGGGCAGGGAGAGGCAAAAGAAGTAAGAATGAGTAAGTCATTGGAGGGACAAAGCACCCATGTACTGAGTTTCTAACAGTGACTTTGTTCTCAGCTGAGGACAACATTCAGATTGTCTCTGATTAGAAGCACACATTCCAAAGGAGAACTTGACCACATTTCAGTCTCCTTTTAAAAGATTAACAAAGGTTATAAATATGAAAACCTCCAACACTGGCTAGTCTCTGAGAAAAATAATAACTCAGAATGTTTGTTTCCCACGAATTGTTCATAATAACTGCCTTTTATGTGTATCTTTTTTTTTTTTAAAGAATTTGTACCAATATCCTGCTTAAAAACCACAGAGGTGTTTATCTGATATATTTATCAGGGTACACTTGTCCTTAAATGGACCATTCTTTTCTGTAAAGTGTGAATCATAATTACTTTTGCTGACTCATTTTAAATAAATCAAAGTTATACATTTTCCCAAGAAATCACTTCTCCCACTCCAAATGTCTTCTTTACTTTTTTTTTTTTTTAAACGTCAGAGCCAATCAGTAATCCATTCTCAGTTTGAATGGTTTTCCCTTTCTCACTACATGGTATTTCAGAAAGTAAAATTAAGAACTAGATCATACTTCCAAATGTTTACTCTTTGCTGAACACTAAGCCATGTGTTTTGCAAATAACATACTGTGTACATTACATCACTATTATTTTCTTTTTCTTTTCTTTTATGGTGCTAGGGAATGAACCCAGCACAGCTCAGCAAGCACTCTGCCGATGAGCTATATCCCCATTCCACTATTATTCCCATTTAAAAGATAAAGCAAGTGACGCTTGAAAAGGGCAAGCAAGTTGCCCAAGACTCTTAGGACCCCACAGCCAGAACTCTTGGCTAGTTTGCTTCTGCAGTAATGGAAAAAAAGGTCTGTGGCTTTTAAATTGGATTTCAGTTTTGCTCTCAGATTTGTAAATAACTCTAGAAACAGAAAGAGCCTTCTTCTTTTTTTTTTTTTTTTTTTTTGATTAGCCTGCAAGTGAGGGCATAACAGCAATTGCAGAGGGGAAATGGTTGCTTCATTAATTCTCTCAACATATGCCCTTTATCTAACACTCATGGCGCTGCAGTGTTAGTAAGGATGTCTTAAGAATGAATGACTGTTGTCTGCATGATATATGAATATAGTTTGCATGAAAAAGCTTCAAAAGAGAAGTGATTATCCTATCTTGAGCTCCATAAAAAGTAAATAATCACAAGTGCCCTCACATTTCCAGGAGATAATGAAATTGCAATGGCCAGTGGTTATCTGGAAACACTCCCACCACCATTCCCACCCACTGTCCATTTACTGGGTGAACCTGCAGAAAGCTTACTGACTCAAGGCATCTTCCTCAGAGTTCCCAACTGCATACCAGTGGTGTACATTAATGGATTTTTCTGTGGCCTCTAGGTATTTATTTAGTCAGAAGGAACCCAATCTCCTCCAGGACAGCGTCTGACCCCTCTCAGCTTTACAGGGGGTAGAATTAGTTTCGCACCACACTGGCATAAGTATGCAGATTTGTAAACTTAACTCAAAACCATTTATGTGGCTTTTACTGGATTTCTGCCTTGGGCCACATGTCTTTTTTTTTTCCTGAGTTGATTTCCATTCACTGGTAATCTGTGATCCACGCATGCTCTCCTCCCCTTTGCAGTTACTGCACGTTGCAACTTAAATCCCTTTTCTTTCTTAAAGAGTTAAAGTTAGAGAAAAGTTGGTGAAAGAGGAGAGTGCTCGCAGCAGCCCTGAGCTTGCCTCAGAGTCCTTAGCTCAGAGGAGACATCAGCCGCTGTCAGTCCATTACCTATCCTTTCAGTCAGAAAACTCAGCCTTCGATAGGGTCTCGAGCAAAGCAGTGAGCTCTGTGAGACAGCCAAGCCGTGGCTACGTCCAGCCAGTGGACCCCGTGCACACCGTCAAGCTGGTGACCGCAGAGACCCCAGAAAGTGCGTCTGAGTGCAGCAGGGCAGGATCAGCTATCCCAAATGTCATCAAGCCTTCCACCTCAAAGGTTCTAGAAGATGAGAAAGAAGATGCCCCCGTCCTTCATATTTCTGAATCTAAAGAAGAAGATGATGTGCTCTTCACTGAAGCTCTGGAGAAAAACCAGAAAACACTCTTGACCTTGGAGGAGGGTGGGCTTGCAAGCAGTCACAAAGCCTCCTCTGGGAACGAAGACTTGGGGCAGCAGCCTGCTGTTAGCACAGTCTCCTTAGAACCTCAGAAGGAACCTCAAGTTCAGCTCCAGCCTGCTGAGAGAATGGGCCGAAGTGAAATGGTTTTATATGTTCAGAGTGAGCCTGTGTCCCAGGAGGCCACACCAACCAGTCGCCAAAAGGGAGCACCTCCGAAGAAGCACAAGGTCCGTACCCGCTCGCTGTCCGATTACACGGGTCCCCCTCAGCTCCAGGCCTTGAGGTGTAAGGACCCAGCTCCAAAGCGAGAGCTGGAGCCACAGAGTTCCAAGACCGAAGGGCCCAGTGCAGAAGCCAGCATCCTAGACACCAAGGTCTCCGTGGCCCAGCTCCGAAATATGTTTCTGGAGTCTGCCAGAGCCAACAAGAAACCTGAACTGTAGGTGATGTTGCAAACGTCCTCCTGATGTGTCACTTGCACGTCCATTGGCAGAATGACTCACTTCTCAACTTGTGTTGTGTACTGCGTTGAATCGTGTTAGCTTAGCTCACAAGTGTGTGCAGGGCAGACTGTACAGGAAATGGCTCACAAACTACCATTCTGCTTCTGCCTACTAATGGGGAGTTGGAGGAGTGGGTCTCGGGAGTGCTCCACCTCCATCCGTGCATGGTAGAGGCATGTAGAGGGGTCTAGCAATCTGTGCCTTGACTCGCTGAGATGCCTAAACCTTTGTTTGCTTTATTCTCTTTCTGTCTTCCCATTCCCCTGCTGTGTAATCTCTGCCCTGTGATTCTAAAAGCCAATCACGGGTTGAGAAGTCATCTGAAGGACTTGGCTTGCCTACCCGTATGGAACGGGAGAGAGGGTCCCGGAAACCGAGACGCTATTTTTCTCCTGGTGAAAGTAGAAAAACTTCTGAGCGATTTAGAACTCAACCTATAACCTCAGCAGAACGAAAGGAATCGGATAGGTAGGCATGCCTCTGTGTAGTTCCATCGTATAGGAATGTAAAATAAAGAATGCAGGATTTTTACCAAAACTGATGGTCCTGATGCTATTGACAAAGGATGTTGGTGATTCCATTACTCTTCTATCTAATCTATTAGGGATGTTTATTTGTCTTACTTAAATATATTTTAAAAGAAATATTGACCTTCTCAACAGTATCACCATATGGTTTTAAATTACATTCAGATGGTAAGAAGAAACATTATTTTTCTTCATTTGAGGTTTTTAACTTCTTTCCACTCTTGTTCAAGTAGAATCTGAATTAAGTATTGGCCAAGTTTTCAGTGAAAATAAGAAAGGAATTTTATATTCATTATATTATACTCATTTTCAGGGTAAGATATATTTAAGTTTCTACGTTATCATATGTTCTTTCATAGAAATGATAGTTTGTCAAAAAAAAATTTATCATGAGTCCTGTTTAATAACTTGTTTGTGATCCTGGGTTTTCTCCACGAAGTGTTCACTTGGCTGGGATTTTGTGTACACGCTTTCCACAGTGTCAGTTAACAACTATATGTGTGTGCATTCACAGCTAGGATGATATTCTTTAAGAGAGGTCAATTGCATCTGTATTTTAACTTTAATGTGATGTCTTATTTGGATCTTCCAATCCCACCACTAATTCACTGTTATTATCTGCTAATATCTCTTCTAGGTATACTTCAAGTTCAGAAATGCCAACTGTTGAAGGCAAGTATCCATTTTCCTTTTTCTTCCTTCTTTCTGATCTATCCAAATTAGATTTAAAAAAACAAGATTTTTTTTTTTACTTTTTTGTGGGGGAGAATAAGACTATGGAAATTGTTTATTTCTTACTTTCCAGCAAATGTGCTGTGAATATAATAAAATCTAGGAGAAAGTTTTTAATGAGTTTCCTTATTTTTGATGAGTTAAGAAAAATTACAAAGTGAACAATATAGAAACAACTAATTGAACCCAAGAAGCAAGTTTTTCTTGTTACTTGCTCCTGTACAACAATAAGATAAATCCCTTTCATAAAATCTATGCTTGAATCTCCATTGGTTAAATATCATCTGAACACAGTTTGGTTTGGTTTGGTTTGGATGACACTAGGAATTAGTTTCTTTTTACTGAACAGAAAGAATGGGCTAGTCCCAAGAGGAAAATATTACCAGTTATTTTGGTTCACTTATGCTTGTTTTTAAGGGATTTCCAGGTCAATCTTGGAAAACGGTCTGGAGACATTTACATTTTGAAACGATGTTCAATTTTTCTTTCACGGCTTTTTACAGATGAAGAAAAGGTAGATGAACGAGCCAAACTGAGTGTTGCTGCCAAGAGGCTGCTTTTCAGGGTAAGATGTGCAGAAAACTTGCTTAGAAATCATAACCCCTATAGAGGGAGACTCCCAAGGCTCTGGCTACTTCGCACACTCTGAGAGCCTGAAAGTTCTCCTCATTTGGCCCACCTGTTGTTCTCTTCCTATGCTGTGTTAGTCAACTTTTCATTGCTGCAACTAACTGCCTGAGACAATGAACTTAAAAAGAAAAAAGTGTGTTTTGACTCATAATTTCAGATGTTCCAGTCTGTTATCAATTGTCCTATTGCTTTGGACCTGTGAAGAAGCAACACATCATGGTGGGTAGCATGTGGTGGAGGAAACTGCTTACCTCATGGCAGCAGAGATGAAAGACAGAGAGGAAGAGAATGAGCCCCGCAATCCCTTTTTTAGGGCATTCCCTCCAATAACCTAAAACTTCCCACCAGGACCTACCTCTTGAAGATCCTACCACCTCCCGATAGTGCCAAGCTGGAGGGACCAAGCCTTTAACACATGGGCCATTGTGGAACATTTCAGATCCAAACTATAGCATATGCTTTGACAGATTTTGTCCCAGCTCTCCCAGCCTGACCCGTTCACTCCTGATGAGGATGCATGGTTCTCATTGCTCGCCCCTCCTGTGGATCTTAGAGGAGGACAGAGTAGAGACATTTCACTAGCCCGATTTCCTTTCCTTGGATTTAGAAGATTCCTCAGTGTTTCTAATCTTAGGAAATGGAGAAATCATTTGAGGAAAAAAATGTCCCAAAGAGATGCTCGAGAAACCCAGCCGTGGAGCAAAGGCTGCGCCGCCTGCAGGACAGGTCTCACACCCAGCCCATAACCACTGAGGAAGTCGTCATTGCCACCACGTGAGTCTCCTGTGGGATTGCTTGGCCTCGGCTGTAAAGTCTCCTCTTGGTGGGGGTGAGAGGGGGAAGATTTGAAGAATTTTAGATAAATATGAGGCAGTATAACCAAATTATAATAAGTGCATATGTGAATATGTTGCATGTACCCACTATTACTTATAATTATAAGGCATCAATTAAGACTTTTATTTTTTAAAAAAGGAGACAGTTGAGAGATAGGTTGGCCAGAAGTCAGAGAAGTTGGTTTTTCAAGATTTGCTTTACTACTACCATCTCTCTAAGCTTTGTAATGAGATGCACCGCTTATTGTAGCTTCTTGAAAAATATTGAGGAATTTTATCCATGCAATTGGGGGTTTTGTCTCCATTTTTTATTTAAAATGTAAAACATGAAAGTAGATAAAAAATAACGAACCCCGAACTTCAGTGAATCATTGTCAACTCCTGTAGCCCCATCCCCTCCCCTTTCCTCCTGCATTATTTTCAAGCAAATCCCAGACATCACTTCATCCATGAATATTTCACTATTTATCTCTAAAAGATAAAGATTCATTTTGTTTTTGAATAGCCAGCAAATATGTTTTTTAATTACTTGGAAGTTTGATGACTTTCCAAATCACAGGATGTCTCTTTTGAGCAATATGTTCCAGTATGTGCAGAATTAATTTCCCAAAGTAATTCATTCAAAGATAATGGCTTCAATCAAATGCAAATTTTTATTAATTTTTTAAAAATTGTTTTTGTGGGCAATTGACATCCCAAAAGGCCTCATCAGTTTGTTAAAATAAATTATAGAGTTGTTGGTATAAAATAAAAAACAGATACCTTTGGAAGCAAGACAGTAAATAGAGGAAGAATCAGCACTTTATAAGGCTCAGCAAAACTCCTTTGATATATCTGTAGCTTACATGAGGATACTAATTCTTTTGGGGGGAACTTTTAAATTTATTTATTTATTCAAATTTGTTATATATGACTGCAGGATGCATTTCAATTCATAATACACATATAGAGCACAATTTTTCATGTCTCTGGTTGTACACAAAGTAGAGTCACACCATTTGTGTCTTCATACGTGTACTTGGGGTAATGATGACCATCTCATTCCACAGTCTTTCCTACTCCACTGCCCCCTCATTTCCCTTCCCTACCGTTTGCCCTATCTAAAGTGCCTCTATTCCTCCCATGCTCCCCCCACCATCTCCATTATGGATCAGCATATGAGGATACAAATTCTTATAAAAAAGAGAGAGACTGAGAACACCATTCTAAAATATGGGCATAATCTATTGATTTGCTGATAGCTGATTGTTGTTCGTTTTTTTTTTAATTGCTTTTTTCAACAAGGAGGTTTATGCTAAAGATGAAAGTAAATCTACAAGCCCTGTAGCTATGCTTAGTGCATTTACTTTGGGCAGCCTCTTATTTTCTAAGTTTATAATTGCTTTTTGAGTTCGTTTATGGTTTTTTTTTCCTCTAAAGTAATTAGCAAATAATTTGGTAAAATATTTAACATTTCTGAATTTGAAACCATGCTTTCTTTAATGCTTCTTTTCTTCTCTCTCCTTATGAATGTTCCTTCTTTGGCAATTGCTTGTAAAGTGAATCTATCGCTGCTTCGTGTTCTGGGGTCACCCAACCTGTTATGACGAGACTTCCTAGTCCTACTGTAGCTAGGAGCTCTGTGCAGCCCGCCAGGTACCGGATAGAAATAGCTGTGTGTGGCACCGGGTGCAAAGGTGCTGGGCAGCAGAGGCATTTGAAAGCCTCGAATGCCTTTCATTTGTTTGACAAACAAGTTGGGGCAGTGAGTTGTTCCCGGAATGTTCCCGGCATTTTGTTTTGTCATCCTGCAAGCTACTGATAATGTCATTTAGGCTCTGCATGAGACAACACGTAGCCCATCTGTGTACGTCCTGTGTTGGCATTAGAATCGCACTAACTCACTTATCCATTTGTTTTGCTTCTGTTTTTTATAAGAATGGTCAGTCCTAAAAATTTTCATTTTTCATCAACTAAAATACTAGCCCTTAAAGATGAATAGAGTGGAAATTTTGATAAGACCCAGTTCTTTTAAGCATGGACACAAATACACATTAAAAAAAATCCTCCCTGTTTTTAATTTATAGAGAGACAATGCCCTTATATTTTAGGATTGAGATGATAATTTATAGAGTCTGATCATAGATATTTTACTGTTACATTTCAAATTGTAGCGTTTTAAAATTATGCCCTTAAGCCATGTAAATATCTCCTTTGTTTTACTCCCATGGGCCAGCACAGAAAGGCTAAAAATAAGAATAAAAGAAGTGAAATGACAGTGTAGGAATGAACTGGCAGTACCCAGGAGCAAGGCTCTCAGGGAAGCAGGCTCTTGTCCTCCCAGCTTGTGGCACTGGGCTCAGGAAAGCCTCGAAGGTTCAAGTGGCCTTTCTCACCACCTCATTGCACCTGGACACAGAGACTGCTCTTTGGTCTGGGACAGCCTGTGAGTCAGTGATCAACTGCAATGAAGACAGAATATGCTTCTTACTAGATTTGAGAATTAGATTTGCTAGTGGCAAAAGGAATATTGTCTTAAAAACCATTGGAGAGTCACAGTGACCTTGGAAGTCAAAGCCTTACTTTTCCTAACTGGAAGATAGAGGGATTTTTTATTATTATTATTATTATTATTATTAGTAGTAGTAGTAGTAGTAGTAGTAGTAGTAGTAGTAGTAGTAGTATTTGGGTGGGGATGCTAGGGATTGAACCTAGGACCTTGCACCTGCTAGGCAATTAATTGTTTTAACACTGAGTTCCATCCCTGGCCTTTGTTGGAAGGATTAATAATCACCTGAAATTTTATTCACTTTTAAAGTTATTGAGAATGAGACTTTAGAACCTTTTAAAAAGAACTGGTAGAGAAAGCTATAAGAGAAAATGCTACACAAAGGCAAATTAAAAATCTATGTTGCAGATTCTGTTGTTGACAGATAACCATATTTCCAGTTATTTAAAATAAATAACTGGAAATGAAATGATGAAATGGTTATCTCCTGGACATCTTTGAAGAATATCTGTCCATGCCCTAGGTAATGCCTTCTGACTCCGTTAGCCTTACTTACTTATGACACTAATGCATCTGTCTCAGAGTATGTCCTACCCAATTTCAGTTCCTTTAATAGGAAATTTACTGTTTAGAAATAATTCAGAACTAAAAATCTGCTTGTTGTAGAAATGCTAATTAATGCTAGTGTCCCAAGCCTACTGTGCTACTCACTTCTTGTTTAATACCTAAGCAATTGCTTACCCTCATCCTAAGTTTGTGTAGAGGAAAATAAGCCCTTTGCAAAATTAAGTGACACTTTGAAGAAAGTTAACATATAAAATTAGCAGTGGGCTTTTGCTCCTTTTCACCTACATCCCTGACTTTCACTCCTTCCCTTTCAGATTACAGGCATCTGTTCACCAAAAGGCTTTAATCAGGGACGAGGCAAATGAGGGCAAAGATTCTGCTGAACAAGGAGAACCTGATTCCTCCACTCTGAGCTTAGCAGAGAAGTTGGCCTTGTTTAACAAATTGTCCCAGCCGGTCTCAAGAACTATTTCTACCCAAAACAGAATAGACATGAGACAGAGGAGAATGAATGCCCGCTATCAAACCCAGCCCGTCACACTTGAAGAGGTGGAACAGGTGAGTACACTGTTATTTCGTTCTGGTGTGTGCATATGTTCTTAAAACATAGCACAGTATACTCTTAGGTTGCTGATATAATTAAGGCAGCCTGCCAGCAAACTGTGTTATGGACAGGTAATTTGATAATAATTTCATTCCTAAGAATTACATTTCTCTTGTTTTTGTAATTTGCATGTGAGTTCTGAGTCCATTTTTGGAGACAAATATATATATGCCAACCTTCTTCCCCTCCCCCACCCCAAAGGTTTTGTTTGAGATGTATTATGGTTTATCACTGAGATAAGCAGTGAAATGTACCAAATGTTGTATTTCAGTTTGTGTCAATCCAAAAACCAAAGTTTATGTAAATATTGCTTTTCCACCGGTTTTTTACTTTTTAACTGTGTCCTCCCAGGTTCAAAATGGGAAACTCATTCCCTTCTCACCTACTGTGAACACATCTGTGTCCACCATGGCCTCTACTGCCACCCCCATGTATGCAGGGGATCTTCGGACAAAGCCACCTGTTGATGACAGTACAGATACCACTGACTATAAGTTTCCTTCTCCGATAGAAAATGCAGACTCTCCAATAAAAGGCATTCTGAAATCACAAGCCTGGCAGCCTTTGGCAGAGGGTAGTGGGAGCAAAGGAGTGATGAGAGAATTTGGAGAGACAGAAAGCAAGAGAGCTTTGGCTGGAGACAGTGGTATGAAGAAGTACGGGTCCTATGAGGAAACAGAACTATCCTACCCTGTCGTTGGCAGAGTCAGGGAAGGGGATGGCCATAAGGACTCTAAATACCCTGCTCCAAGGAAAGGAAGCCTGGAACTAGCTAACCCCCACATCGCTCATCTTAATGAAGAACCAAAGGAATTTTCCACTGCTAAAAGCAGTGCACAAAGAAACCTGGACTTGAAAGACAGGCAGCCCTTTGAGGAAAAGGTGGACATGGAGAATGTCACAAAAAGGAAGTTTTCACTCAGAGGTAAATTACTACTGTTCCTCCAGTTTTCTATGACAACAAAATTTTAAATTTCTGCTTGATTTGTTGCATGTATATTTGTAACTCCTTTTAACTAAATTATAAACACAGTTCGTAACTAGTATGGCTCAAAAGTGCAGTGTGAATCCTCTTCTCTCCTCAGACCTCTCTTCCCCTTGAGTCCAGCATGGTCAGTGGAGTGATCAACTTTTTTTCATCAATAAAAATGACTAAAACCCTTTCACACACCCTGGTTTACCTGGTAACTGGTGTCATTGACTTATACAACAGTCTTCTGGGGTACTTAGCTCTCTTGACCCCTGTTTTACCTGGTAACTGGTTTCATTGACTTATACAACAGTCTTCTGGGGTACTTAGCTCTCTTGACCCCTGTTTTACCTGGTAACTGGTGTCATTGACTTATACAACAGTCTTCTGGGGTACTTAGCTCTCTTGACCCCTGTTATAAGTTGAAGGTCCAAAAGGTTCAGGGCTGGATAAGCATAGGGAACGGGACTTTGAACTAGTCTCTCATTTCTAGGCTCTTTCTTTCTACACTCCTGTTTGGAAGGCTAATAAACTCTACTGCATGGGACTTTAATCCTCTTTCTATGTTTGCATACAATAATACTGTGTAAGTTAAAGGTTTGGGCTTTTGAGTACAACACACTTAAAATATCAAAGTATTGTTTGGGAGAAGTAGAAACCATCCCATGGTGTGTAATGGAAACTAACATCCTGGGTCTTGTGCCTAGGAGACAGATGGATCTGCTGTGTGGAGCAATCCACCAGGAAGTTTAATTTTCTCACAGAGTATAGCTGCAGATTTGCATAAATCCAAGTGCACTGGGTGACGTGCCATGTGCCCACGGATTAACTCCAGGGCTGTACTGTTGGGAGGTGAATAGCTGGAGGAATGTTAGCTGGAGGAGTAATGCTGATGTCGCTCCTTTTCTCCCAGCCTCAGAGTTCGGGGAGCCTGCTTCTGAGCAGACAGGGATAGCTGCTGGGAAAACTATTGCTCAAATAGCAACCCCAGGGTCCTGGAAGCAAGAAGATTCTTCAGAACAAGTACAGGAGAAGTACTATAAGAATCCATGTAGCATGTTTGCTGTGGGAGAGACCAAAGCGCCAGTGGAGGAAGGCATCCTTGATTCGCCTAGCAAAACCATGTCAATTAAAGAAAGGTAATAAGAGTTAATGATTGGAAGTAATTCTATGGGGAAGGAGCTGACAACTGGTTGTAGAAAAAGATCTGGGTAATGGACCAAGATGAAGTCAAGAATTCAATTACATATGAGAATGTGCTGTGATATTAGGATAATTCTGGAAAATCAAGATGTTTGAGAGTGAATTGCCTTTGCCCCAAGCGCCTGGTTTAGCAATGCTGATAGGCTCCCAGTTCCAGACTCCAATGAAAAAACAAACAGAAAAGATTTTTCATTGCTTTATTTATTTGCAGTACCCATTTCTTTTATTATGTTAAATTCTTGGAAAAACAAACAGAAAAGATTTTTCATTGCTTTATTTATTTGCAGTACCCATTTCTTTTATTATGTTAAATTCTTGGATTATCTAAGGATGGGAGTTGAGTTCTTGGCTCTTTCTGTTTCAGAGACACATGGTTTGAACCAAATGCCCAAACCACTTCTGATTGTAAAATAATTACAGAGGGAATGAAGATAAATTAGTACATACAATCTGCAGCTTTGGAATTAGAATCTCTAACTCTTTTATTTATAGAAAGTAAGATGAATGACTTTTCTTAACAGCATTTATTTAGAATCCATATCTCCCAACAACTCACAAGCTCAGGAGCAAATCAAGAGTCTTATGAAAGCTCTGCAAATGTTCTACCAGTGAGCTACACCCCCAGCCCTAGAAATTTTGTGTCAGGTAATAGCTCTGAACAGATTACATTTAAAGATCAGATAACACTGTAGCCTCATTTCATTCAAAAGACTGATGTGTTTGGGAGAATATATTTAAACAGGACATATACAAAGAGTAGAAACTAAATCATTTTAGGATGTATTTTTCTTATATCTAGTCACAGTTGAGTTAAGGTATTAAGAAGAGAAAAAAAATGCAATAATGTTAGGAAAACTGGATTAGGAAAAGCTACATCAGCTTCCTTGTATAACTAGCAAAGCTGTTTCCACTGTCTGTTCCTAGGATTCTGTCCACCTGGACCTTCCTTGGCACCCCCAACCAAACAGAAGTTCTCTGGCTTTGTCAGGCACGGATCACTCTTATTTTTCTAGATGTCTCGCATGATGCCTAGGATTATATGTCTAACCACAATGAAAATTCTATTTTACAAGATAAGCTTTTCGAACATTATTCATCAAAGTTTAAATGGATGGAGGCTTTTTCAATTGTCAAATTAATAAGATTTTAAATCTTCTTGGTTTTCACCCTTACTTATTTAAAATCCACAATAAACAAGCCCTGGTCGGCTGAAGGGGAACAGGGGAAGGCACTGATGGGGTTAGTTAATAGGAAGAGTGATGTCTTGAATGAGGGACACAGTTTGGCTCATCTTGGCATCTTTATAAAAACCAGGCTTGCTGGGCACAGTAGCACATGCCTGTAATCCCAGTGAGTCAGGAGGCTGAGGCAGAAGGATCGCAATTTCATAGCCAGCCTCAGCAACCTAACAAGGCCCTAAGCAACTTAGCAAGATTTTGTCTCTAGATAAAATATTTAAAAAGGTCTGGGGATGTGTCTTAGTGGTTAAGAGTCCCAAGGTTCAATCCCTCTTCCAAAAAAACAAGCCACACATTTGATCCCAGAGATTTAAGTATTAAGGACTAGTCAGGTAAAGAGGAAGAGATATAATTTAAGGGAAATAGTGATAAATATCATATTCTGATGTTTTCTAGATCAGAAAATATTTGTTGGGTAAAATTCCAGTAGCAAATGCTAATACCATGCCATCGTCTTTCAAAGGCTTCTAAAGGAGGACTCCTCTTCTGCAAGTATCTTCTCTCTGTTGGGATGTAGGACTTTTGATGGAGAAATTTGTGTCTATCCACTATGCAATAATATTTCTTGATTTACTTGCCTTTCTTTTTTTAAAGCAAATTTGAGTTGATCTGTATTTTTCTAAATGCAGTTTTAATCCTAAGGTAAAATTCTCATTTTTAAAACTGTGAAGTACTGTAAAGGTGTAGCTTCTGACCCCTGGCTTTGTGGACATCTGAGAAGTTCAAGGGTAACTATAAGATTTCTGTGAATATATGTGCTATGTACCTATCAACTACTAGGAGCCCTAATTTACCACAGTCCTGAAGAGGTTCCTGACCCCAGTCAGTTCAGAATACTGATAGTTAGAAATGCTTTAAAAATATTCAGTTGGGCTGGGGTTGTGGCCCAGTGGTAGAGTGCTTGCCTAGCCTGCACGAGGCACTGGGTGTGATCCTCAGCAAACATAAATGTAAAATAAAAGATATTGTGTCCACCTAAAAAAATAAAATTAAAAAAAAAATATTTAGCTATTCAGTTGAATGGTTAAAAAGGTATATTTTTTAAAAATATAAGGAAGACTGGGGATATAGCTCAGTGGTAGAGCACTTTTCTTGCTTGAGGCCTAAATTCAATACTCAAGACCTCGTTTAAAAAAACAAACAAACAACAACAACAACAAAAAAAACCGAGGACCACCTTATTCAGTAGCTATGCTTATAGTGGATTTTGCTAAAGCAAAATGTATTGAAATATATTGCCAGGAATCATTTCCCCCTTACCTTGACAGTACTTTTATTCTTTCTTTGTTGGAAATACCAAGCAGTCCATCCATGATAACTGCTCTAATTCTTCCCTTTTGTTAAAGCGAAATGACCAAGTTTGACCTATTTCAAATAAGAATGTCATTCATATGTCTATGGGGCTTTTTTTTTCTTGGGGTGACATATGCCCACAGGACTTTTAAACCTTATTCCAACTCCTCCTGACTGCCTCTTTATGCCTAATTATGCTCATCAGTCCCAGCAGTCTTTAGGACCATGGTAGTGATGGGACTGACCCCAGGGGCAGGTCTCACACCCTGGTACCTGTGAACAGCTTGCCTCCTGTTCAGTTAGGTGTTTTAGCAGCTGTGTTTGTTCTAACTAGGAGAATATATGACAAGGAAACAGAAATTCTAGCCAGAAAGACTTCACTCTCCCTCTGTATTAATTTTCTCAATTCACATGTTCTTTACATGTATTGTTAAAAATTTCACTTTTATTTTCAAATTTGAACTTCTAAGAAATAGAGCCTGGCATCTGCAGATTCCATGATCCTATCTTCTAACTTACTGTACCCTCAACTGTGCAGTTCTGTCTTCCTAAACCTTCTGGCATTGGCCTCCTTCCTGTTGAGGACTTGACTCTATGGAGTTCTCCACAGGAGTGTCACCAAGTATCCTGTGTTTCCCTTGGCATTTCACTTGAGGTATCTCATTTGCTGTTTCCTCTAGAAAGGAAAAAGCATTATCCCTATCTTGTAGAATAAATGTGTAGAAACTAAGGAATTATAGAAAAGCCTCCATATGCTACCATTTTAGAATGTTTTCATGCTCACATGTTTTCTGACATCTAGAATGCCAAGCTTGAACCATTAATCAGCATAAAACTTAGAATGCAATCTACTTTTTTTCCATTGGGTCAATAAAAACCACCGATTTATAGTTGTCCAAATGATTTAAATTGTCCAAGTTCCATTGGGAACCTCTTTGGTAAGTACTGTGAACCACATAATTCAATTTCTTAGGGATAAAACCTTTGGCATCTGTTAAAAAGCATATTGCGCCTTGAGAAATCTTATTTCCACAATTTCTGAAACTACTGCATCTGAGTTCTCGTACTGAGGGTTGTTGGGTCAGGGGAGATAGCTGAAAAGGGGGAAAAGAGCCATCCTGTCACCTAAGGAAATCGTTAAGAGTATAAGGACTTAGTGAATTCCTTAGAATGTTGAAGGAGCTGCCCATGTCTATCCCCAGCCTCAGAGGGCCAGCTGGGGTCCCCTGAGTTCTCTGCATGCCCCTCCACCACCTTCTGCACCCCACTCAGCTAGAAGTATATTCGTGTCTCCCCAGCAAACTCCAGGTTCTGACCACCAAAAGCCCCCCAGATTGATGTGAATGAGAATAAGGACAAATAGAGGCATGATTTGCCTCTGCCCTCCTCTCCTTTTCTCATCTTTAATTTGTCCTTCTTTTGGTCTATTTGCTGTAGTTATATAGAGGAAAGAGATTGTGGAGGCTGAATGTCCACGACCTAGCTGCGTCTGACAAGGGCTTCACATAACATGGCAGAAGTTCAAAGGAGACCCAGGACTGTGTGGAAGAGGCAAAGCAGTAAGGGCAGTCTTGCTTTATAGCCACCCACTCTTAGGGTAACTAATCCAGTCCCAAGAGAGGATGCAGGGAGAAAGACATTAATTCCTCTTAGGACCTAATATCCCCTTAAAGGCCCACCTCCCAATACTACCACATGGCAACCAAATTACAGAGTTCCAGAGAGGATAGACCATATTCAAACCATAGCAGTTTTTCTTTTCAAAGATATATTGGGGACTAGGAGTGCAGCTCAGTGGTAGAACTCATGCTTAACATTCCCAGAGCCCTGGGTTCAGTCTCAGCATCAAGTAGATAAATAATAAATAAAATATATTATTTGTTAACTCTGCCAACCTGCACACTAGTCAAGATCAAGATCTAGTATAACTAACTAATGAGTGCTTTTGTGCTCTGTCCAAAATCTCTTAGGTGCCTCTGTTTCTTTGAAATGAGGGGAAATTTCTAAAGAGAAAGAAACAAAAACAATACCATATTAGGGACACATGTTTTCTTGTCCCATATTTGACCCAGTCCTTACTTTTATGAGCCTGAAAAACTTGTTCGGACCAAGCAGGGCTCACAGGCCAGAATTCCCTGCTGAAAAAGTGTGGGCTGCGGCAAGAGGAGCAGACATTTCCCTGGGCAGTCTGGCAAACACATGTCATGTTGGCCCTGGGCCATGCCTTGGGGTTCATAGGCGAATGCAGTGCCACTCACTGGCTCCACAGCCTCAGACTAAGCAGATGCCCACGCTCTCCACATCGCAGCCTTGCAAATAGCACTTGGACTTGGCAGATGTTGAAAGCACTGACAGTTGTTTGAATTGCACAGGCAGGAATTTATGTCATGTGTAGGCCCCAACGTTCAGCCCTCTCCAGTATATAGCGGTCTGCAATGAGTTGGAGGACTGGGAGACTGCAGGGGGAGAGAACACATTTGGAAAGATCCCCTGCCCTCCTCAGCTCGTTGAACACCAAGTAGGAAATCTAAAGGGACAGGAATCATGCATTTAACTTACAGTGTGTGTCATTTGAAGTTATTCATCATTTGTACTCTGTATGCCAGGGCTGGGTCCAAGTACCATGTGGGCTCAATTGAAGCACAGTTTCTTCCATATTATTTTGGTTACTCTGTAGTCTTTGGAAGTCCATGATGATGACCTTGCCAGCACATCTAGAAGCAAAATTTTAGGAGTTTGGAATGGAAGAATTCTTTCAAGGCCATCATGGGAAGAGTGGGGAAAATATTATAAGAAAGCCAGAATACTGTGCTATTCCTGAAAGAGTAAAGCGAACCGTCTCTGATCAGCTGATGCACTAATGGAGTAAAAAAAGATGTCCATCGGGGGACAGGGTTTGGAATCACACCTCCTGCCCCACTGAGATGCAGTGGGACCTTATTCCACAAAGCCCTTTTCCCATGTGTGGAAAGGGGCCCTCTCTGTCAAGATAGGAATAACAATATCTGCTTTCTTAGAGATTCTTGCACAGATCAGCAGAGTGTAAGGTGGACTATAAAGTCATTCCAGATTCCTCAATTTGTTTTTCTCTGAATCAGTTCCATACTCCTCAAACCAGCCACCAGGGAAACCACACCATTATTTAGGTGGTATTGTCACTGCTCCAAACATTTGGCAGCTTCGTTTCGAGAAGGTCCTCAAAAATCATACCCTGTTATTTTTAAGAACCTCAATTTGTAAGGATGAATTTGATGATTTTTAATTCTCTTAAATCATTTGGAATCCAGCGCGGTTAACAAGGTGTATCGTCAAGATAAATAATTACTGGTCTGAGTCAAAGGTGAGGTTAGAGACAGAAGCTGATTCAGTTTAAAGAAGAGCATCAATGAAATGGATGTCTCCTTCTTAAGGGAGTATTTCCTTCTTAATTTGGTTATTAAAGTACTGATATTCTTACTTTTCGAAAGTCTCATTTATTGATGCTTTGAGATCTTGGAAAGCTCCAGTGCAGAATGCCAGATACTAATTATTTCTTTTAGTGATGTGAGTTTGTGAGATTCTATTTCTATACTAGAATAAAACTGACTCATCCAAAATAATTGGAAAAGAGATAAATTTTAGTCATCATCTAGTAGGAAATGCAGATTAAAACATTTAATGGAATTTAGATATTGTGTCCAAGTTCATGAACTTGCCCTTGCAACCTGCAGAGTGCTCCCAACATTGTAGAATATAAGACTAAATGGGATCTTGAGCTATGTGAGATCTGCCTTTTATACCTGTTTCATTGAATGAACACTTGAGATCTTATCTGCTGCCCCATAGCAGAAACAAAGAAAATAAAAGGAAAGAAAAAGAAAACAAAGCAAGAGATTTGGAGATAGAGATAGGTCCAAAGTTTGAACTCCTTCCTCTTTCAGGCAATTCTTTGCTTTATGTCTTACTTTCCATTATTTGACTGGATGACTAGAAAGTATGATTATGGACAGATTTTTTTAGATATAAATATTTTTTGTATTTTTTTTTTTTTGTGTGTGTGTGTGTGTGTGTGTGTGTGTGCTGGAAGTTGAACCCAAGGCCTCATGCTGGCTAGCAGCACACACTCCACGGAGCTTCATCCCCAGCCGTAAATTCTTGTTTAAGTAATACTGAATTTGTTTTCTCATTTGTTAACAAAACTTATCACAGAATATATTTTTTCCCATTTTCTACTCAAATATTTTACAGAATCAGGAAAGTTAGTAGCAGAAGGGCCTTTAGAGATTTTCTTGTCCAGTTTCTGATAAGACAAATCAGGATAGGAAGCAACATCCGTGAACGGAGATAATAGACTAGAGCTCATGCTGCTTAACAATGTCATTGTTTATGCATGGTGCCCATTAGGCTGGGCCCAGAGAAACAGAGGTCTAGTCTTTTTTTTTTTAACCTTAATTTTAAATTGTTTGAGCATCAGCTCCAATAAATTTAATGATCACTGCCTTTTATCTGTCCCATGTTTGTACAACTTAGATGCCTAAGACTAACTCGGTTATTTTAATACAGTTAGCTGAAACAGCTCATGTTCATGAATGTTACTTTTCCGATATTACAATATCTAAGCTGCTTTATGGCAAGTCGCATCATAGTTGAACTAAAGTAGGTCAGATAACGATCTCAGTTAATTAGATTCTTTTTCTGTATATATCTTTCCCTTGAGAAAAGTTGCAATAATAATTTTTTAAGTAGGTTTATAGAAAATAGTTTTTTGTATTAAGATGCATTGGAAAAAAACAAGTTCATTTGGAGGAAAAAAGAACAGGGCTTAGAATACAGAAAGAGAAACAATTATAAACATCATAATTTATCTTTGAAATGCATGATATTAAGATATTTTCAGTGTTTTATACCTTGATTTTTTTAAACACTTTTTTTCTGCAATATTTTTGTTTTCCTGATTTAGTGTTATTTCATCATGTGACCAGAATGGGCCACTAGAAGATATTTTTCTCTAGGGATGGTGACTTTTTTTTTTTTTTTAAATCTCTTTCTTGCTCTCAGCCCAAGGTCAAGGAAAAAGCAGAGATAATCCTTTGCTGAATTGATGGTGCATCTTTAGGACCATCTTGGAAAAAGAGACTTTCCTACGTTTTCAGAGTTTGGTGCTGAATTCTTGGCATGTTTTCCACCTAGATTGGCACTGTTGAAGAAGAGTGGTGAGGAAGACTGGAAGAGCAGAATTAACAGAAAGCAGGAGTATGGCAAAGCATCTGCCAGTGACAGCCTGCACATTCAGGAAGTGGAACAGTCGCTGAAGAAGAAGGTAAGGTTTCCAAGTTAGGAGAAAGCGTCTTCACTAGCATCACGCTTGCAAGTGCGTCAGGTGGAACAGCATGTGAAGCTGCACTGATTCCTGCTCTGTGGAACCTGAGCACTCTCTTGCCTTTAGGGTGCACGCTCCATCTGTCACAAAGTTGCTAACATTAATCAAAAGGTCAAGCCTTGAGATGTTATAGAATCAGTAACAGCACCACCACATAGTACGTCAGCAAGCAAGTGCCTGAGTTTTAAAATATGTACACAGCTCAAACCTTCTTAAGTGAAATCTGGCTTTTAGAATGTGATTAAGGCTTTCCAATGAAAAACTTTAATTCACCACTAACAGCTTGTAAGTTGCATATAAAAACATGGACTTGAATTTCCCATGCAGAGGTGTAAGATCTACGTGTAAAAAAATAAGGACATAACTGTGGCCTGCAAGTTACATTCTTTATAATTTTAAGCCTGTTTCATGATGAGGAGGTATGCCTTTTATTGAGAATGTATAGCAATATGTGTTACAAGCTTAAATAAAATCAAATCATGCATGGTGATCCATACTAGAAGCATCTCATATACGAGAATATTGCTGGGTTGTTAAATTAGAAATGTAACGATGACCAGCCTTTGACCTCAGGCTTTCAAAGCTGATGGTGACTTCCCTGCTGGCTGACCCTACCACTGCTTGCTGCCTCTAGGGGAAATGATGCAGCTGAGTCACACCCACTGGCCAAGTTCCAAGGTTTAAAGTCTTCAAATAGAAAAGAAAAGAAAAAAATGTTCCACTTAGTCAATCCTTTGAACCCCTTCTCACTCTAAAACAAGCATCTGAAGGGGGGGGCAATGACCTTTAGTCCCAAGCTACTCAGGAGGTGAAGGTCAGAGGATCACTAGTCCAAGAATTCAAGACCTGCCTGAGCAACAAAGAGAAACCCCATCTCAAAAATAAAACTATGCATCTGTGGAAAAGAGAAAGTCTGACTTGACCTTTATGTGTTAAGAAACTTACATAAAAATGAGAAGATCCAGAACATTGAGTCAGGGGCTCTGACACTATTTTATATAGTACTTCTTTTTTCTTTGTTGTCTGTTATTTTTTTGTACTGAAGATTGAATTCAGGAGTGCTCTACCACTGGACTACATCCCTAACCCTTTTTATTTTTCACTTTGAGACAGCGTCTTGCTAAATTGCCAAGACTGGCCTCAAATTGGGGTTTTAGGCACGCACCACTAAACCTGGGTTATGTACAGAACTTCTGTGTCTACAGAGGTGACACTGAAGTGGAAACTTGAATTCTTTTTTAACACATGGTGTTAAAGATAATGTCTGAAGATGTTTAATTCTCAGCCATGTGTGAAGTTCTCAAGTATAACTGGACACTAAAAAGTATTTGAGTTCTCTAGCTGGAGACATACATGGTGTTAAAGATAATAACCAAAGACATTTAATTCTCAGCCACTTATAAAGTTCTCCCTCTAACTAACTAGATATTGAAAAGCATACATATGAAATCTAGATTTCAATGTAAAAGAAAACTTGATCCCTCAACTAATGTATCCCCAGGGCCTACAAACTTTATTTTCTAAAAAATCTTGGGGCCAGGGGTAAAGCTCAGTAACAGAGCACTTAACCTACTATGCACGAGGCCCTGGGTTCAATTCTTATCGCTACAAAAACAAAGGACCTTAAAATCATTGGTTTAAAAATAACACACACTTGTAATCCCAACAATTTGGGAGGCAGGAGGATGGCAAGTTTGAGGGCAGCCTTAGCAACTTGGTAAGACCCTGACTCAAAATAAAAAATAACAAATAAAAATAATTAGGAAAGGGTGTGTCGCTCAGTGGGAAAGCACTCCCGGGTTCAATTGCCAATAACAAAATAAAATAAAACAAACTGGGTGCTGTGGTATACACCTATAATTCCAGCTACTTAAGAGGCTGAGAGGCAAGGAGGATTGCAAGTTTGAGGTTAGCCTGGGCCACTTAGTGAAATCCCATCTCAAAATTAAAAAAAAAAAAATTAAGAGCTGTAATTGCCACTCAGTGATAGAGTGCTCCCCCATCTTGTTCAAGGCCCTGAGCTTAATACCTAATACCACAAAAAATAAAAACCAAAAACTTTTAAGATGGACCTCATTAGAAGAGCTGTCAACTAATATGTGGTAGCACCAAGCAGTGTCAGATATCTTGTTTATCATTTTAAAACATGCAGACTGTCTTGTTTTAAAAGACACACCCTTCCCTAGCAGACTGTCCCCTTTGGCAGGTGAATATAAAAATGAAGCTAAGAATCAAAAGGTGAGACAGATCCCTGTGGATGGTGAAATGTGCTACTGTCCCCTTAGGAGAGTGAGGGTGACCTTAGGCAGTAAGTATCAGAAGGGTGTGGGGAAAGGATGAACCTGGACTGTCCAGACATATAACTAAGATTGCAAGAAGGCAAGAGATGCCAGGTTGTTCTGAGAGTAGAAAATCCAGTGACACAAAGCAATAGGACTTGAGCGCCTCGTGGGTTTCAGTGTGACATGCTGCCAGGCTCATGGGTGCCACCAATTCTGTAGCCACAGTGAATTTACTATTCCTACTCCTTCTTGGTGGCCTACTTCACTTTGGACCCCAGACAATAAGCTCTTTAAAGTTAAACTAAGTCAATCTATTTTAGGCCTTTGCTGTGCTCATTGGGAAATCTCAAGTTCCGTTGAGGTCAGGTTGTATTCCATGTGGCCTCTGACGACCCCCTGGTTCATTCCATCCCAAGAGCTGGCTGTGCATTTCAGGCACACTTTGACAGCACGCAGATGTGGTAGGCCATGTGCATTAGACCTGGGCTATCATGAGACTCCCCACACACAGCTGAGGAGTGCTTGAGAAGTACCACTGCTTGCCTGTCTAAATGTGCCCTTGGAAAAAGAAAGACATGGATAACATACACATGAAGATGGGGGCTTGCTGCATGGGATATCTGGGCTTACCATGGAGAGCTGCTCAGCAGAGGGGTATGGGAAGTTTCCATCTTTACCACCCAGGGTAGAAAGGAGCGGGTCTTACAGTCAGCTCATCACTTACTTCCCAATTTCTGAATTCATCAAACAGCACATATCATGATTATCAAACATTTTATACCTTGTCATCCTTCTGTGTGCAATGAGTGTAGAATGTGGGAATATAGAAGGGGGAGGACCTGGAGTGAGGACTCTGTAAGTCACTCCATTGCTACTATGAAAATCCACGACATACAGAGGTCCAAGGAAAATATCATGAGAGCCACACAGGTAATATAAATGTTTAAAAAACAAAATAGAAAAAGATGCCCTGACAATCTGTAATTGTTTTGTTTCTGCCAAGGGTGTTGTCCCAAAAGAAATTGAGGCATCTCAATTTGAAATCTTGTATAGTAATATTGTCCTATTTTAGTCCATAAATAGCTTTGGAAGAACTAGGAGTTTTCCTTTCTGTTCTGAAATTGTAGTCATCCTCAGAAAAAAATGGAACTAAGCAACAGTTCCTTGCTTTCCACTTTTATTCCCCTCTAAATCAGGATTCATGACTTGGAGGTTAAGAGCACTAATTATTTACCTAGCTAACTCTGTCATTTCTTATGAAAAGTCATTCAGGTTCCTGGTTTCTCTACCTCTCTCTCTTGCCACCCTTCTTTTTCTTTCTCCTATACTTGATTTAGTCTAGGTTAGTGCTAACCTGACTTATACATTTTTACTTCTTGTAGCATATAATTACTTCTAATGATAGTAAAGCCATTTGGATTGTAAATTTGGCCAGGTCCACCCTGAATGGAATGTGTGCACTTGAGCATGGATTGTGTCCAGTTTCCTCCAGAGTAACTCATTCCATCAGAGAGAGAGAGAGAGAGAGAAATGAAACGAGACAAAGTCGTAAAGAAGTGATTTGGCAGAAGTCTATTACAACTAAATTATAGTTCTTTATTTTAACACAATAATTATCTTAAGTTCCAAACACATTTCAATCTATTCAACATTACAACATACATATGATTCCCATGTCCTCTTGTTAAGATAATCATAAAAAAAAGATAATCATCCAGTGTATAAGACCTTTCCAGGAATCTTAAAAACCTTTACAGAATTGGATACTGAAAACCTGCACCTATTTCTGAGTCCCAGTTAAGGACTGGATATCTGGTACTATGCTAAAATTCGAAGGAGGTAAATCTGCCACATTTATATTCTAATTGCCTGCTATTCTTCAGAATTCCAAACCACAATTGTCAGTTCAAAGAGCAAGGCTGAGAGAGAATGCAAGGCCCTAAATTAAAGGCTGTCCTCCTGCCCTGCCCTTGGGGAATGAGTTCACTTGATGTTTATGCCACTGGATTGTGAGCACGTGCTGCATGCTTCTAATTGAAACAGGGCACTGAATACTTGAAAATGATGGTGAGACCCTAACTAGACTCTTCCAATTCTCTGCAATGTCTCCTATTTGTTTTAACCTGTAGGAAGAAGGAGGATTTACAGATGATAATGACATTTCTAATCTGCTTTGGGTAAGCCTGACTCTAACACAGGTTTCCTTCTGTAACTGACTCAGTGGGTTCCTCCTTTGGTGAGTGCAAAGCCAATATGCACAACCAGGAGATAAAAGATTAAGGAAAGAAGATTACTGGAGAGAATTCTCTAAGAAGTGCCTCTTTCAACAAAGAAACCAAGGAGCTCATGCTGGGGAAATGCACATATTCCTATAAGAAGAGCTGGTTATCCAATGTAGAGATGGGCACATTGCTGAGCATGCTCAGTTTGAAATCTTACAACCTCCTGTGTTCAAAAAAAGGTAGACAAGTTTGCCTCTGGGCAGGGAATTTAGTATTATAAAGAGCAAAGTTTATTCTAGGTCATCAAAAAAGAGGGAGTCAGAGTGACTCAGCCATTTTGGTTTCTCTGAAGAGCCTTATCTCTAAACAAAATGAAACAACTTTAAAGGAGCATTAAGTGTAATTTCAAGGGGCAGTCGCTTATGCACGCACTTGTGTGCTTGGAAATTGCTCCTAAAATTACCTGCCCAGTGTCGAATATCTCCTCTAGATAGGGGCCAGGGCTACACCTCCCTGCAAGCCTCCGTGCCCTCTCTGTTTGCTTTTCATATTTCCAGGCAGGATGCATCCTTTATCCAGCATGGAAAGAGGATCCAGTATTCTTACATTATTTTTTAATCATATAATGAAAGTACCTCAAAGAAGGTGATTTTTTGTTGTTGTTGTTAAATGTTAAAACCATCGATGAAAGTCCTGGCTCCCTGTCTGTCATTGAGTTTCTTATATAAATTGCAGGTAATCCTCCCATTAACTCCGTCAATTACTGCACAAAACTGACTCAGGTATTTGCACTCTGTGCTTGTGAAGATTTATTTTAGCATCCCATTTGAGAAAGGAACCCTCTTGAAAAGAGAACTGAAATTGCAATGAGTAAATTAACTTTCTGTTAGAAAATTCATTGTTTTTTGTCTCACCCCCAACCCTCCCCTCCCTTCTCTGCTCTGATAAATCTTCTCTTTTCACCTCTAATCCTCTTGCTTTGCTCTATAGGAACCTGTATATGCTTCTACTTATTCTCCTGCTATACCTGCTGCCCATAAATACCTGTCTTTTGTATCTATTAATCAGGTGAGGAAACACTACTCATGTTAAGCCTCATTGCAATTTCTGAGCAGTGGGGAAGGACTTTTTGGTTTCAGTTGGGGAAGTAACTCATTAGCTTCATGAGTGTGTGTGTGTGTGTGTGTGTGTGTGTGTGCGCGCGCGCGCGCACGCACGCATGCATACACGTGAGTGTTTATATATAAGGGAGTCTTATGATTGTGTGCCAGTCTGTTTGTATGTCTGACAGTGTGTGTTTAATCAGTTCCTATATTTAGGGTTAGTCAACATGTTACAGAGATGAGGACTTTGGAGAAACTGAGGCAATGCAAGCCTCCCCTTCAAACCTTGATCCTTGTGATCAGGTCAGAAGGATTTCAGACAGGTCGCTCAGAGTAACAGGAATAAGTTTATTGAAGGAATTGGAAAAGAGAAAGGGGACATTCTCAAAGGAGAGAATGGGTCCTCTCAGAGATGAGAGACAATGTGCTTCTCTTGCACTCCACTTTTATTGGGGATACCAGAGAAGTTTCCAGAGAGTCCCACCCAGGTCCACCTCTTGACTGGCAGCAGGATGACGTCAGACTATTAAGTTCTCACTGCCATGACAACTCTAGGTCACCATGGCCCATAATGATTGGTTCCAATTGGATTCTTATCCATACATTCTCACAGATTTTATGGTTAGGAGGAATTATCCTTATTTCCCAGAGTTTCAGGATCTGGTCTCTCAAAAAGGGTCACAAAAGCCTCCCCCTTCAGGGTAACTTGAGTTCCTCTTATCAACTTTATTTCAGGCCTGCATTTCTCCTGCAGATAACAGGTGGTTTGCTAAAGAATGTGATATGTCCTGTCCACTTAGGCCAGACAGAGCTGCAGGAGAATTGCTTCTTAGAAAAGATAGCATGTGGGAGTCAGCTCAGTGGGCCCATTCTATAGAATTATTCCCACCATTCACATATGTCTGTCCCCTAACACACACATGCAATACCTTTAGCTCTGATTTTTAGGTAGACCTGACAGTATGAATTAACCTTGCTTTCATGAAACTGATTTAAGGAAAAAATTCCCCTTTCCATTTGCAAGCTGTGAATCCTAAGTCAAGACAGGAGCCCATGGCCTGCACCAGGGTATTCATTGCCCTAGCTAGGTTAGGATGTTATCTTGCTTAGCTTAGAAGTATATGTGGATATGGTAGAGGCCATTCATGTGTGGAACAGGGAGAAAGAGGCAGTCTGATATGAGCTGCTTACATTGGTCCTGTTGAAATGAGAAACTATAGACCTCCCTGCATCCTTCCCTCCATCTTTACTGTATCTTGACTAAACCCCACCCCAAAAGGGAGACCTGGCCAGTCTAAATGATGTATGATCATTTTTAAAGCTAAAAATGTTCACACTTGTTTGTTATTCCCTCAGGATGTCCTTGATGTCATGATGGCTATGTTAAGTGGCCACATCCATATTTCCATGACTCCCAGGTTCTCATCTCCCTCCATTGTGGGAGCTGGACTGGGGCCTTCCCTCTAGAGCTCAGTCCCCTCATCAGGACTGGGACTTTATTACCTCCAGGTTGCCTCTAAGTAGCAGTGGTCTGACTTCACCGCTGCTTCAGGGCCAGCAACCGTGGGACTGGAGGCTCAGGATTTCACCTGTGAAGCTGAATGAGAGAAAAGTAATCATCTTTTTTCCCCCCCTCTCCATGTTAAACTTTAGGATAAGTGTGTCAATATCTACAAAATGTCTTCCTGGGATTTTGATTAGGATCACAGTGAATTTATAGATAGAGTAAGAACCGACATCTTGAAAAAATAGTCTTCCTGTTTATGAACATGTAATATCCATCCATATATTTTTAATTTAAAAAAAAATAACGTTTGCCCCAGTATTATCAGAGTTCAGATCTCTCCTTTTCTTTCCTCCAGCCATGCCGGTGTCTTAATATTGAATGATACAGGGATTCAAAGAAGAAAATAGAGCATTAAACACTACACAACCTCTGTCTAAAAGGACTATTTACTTAATCTCTCTGGCAGGCTTCAACATGCATTGCTCTCCTTCCTCAAGTGTCTCAAGGATGTACCAGAACAAGATTTTGCTTTCTTTCAGTCCTTTTGTTTTAAGAGATAGTAGATGGTGACTAGATTGGATTATGATTCCTTCGAGGTCTGAGCATAGGACTTTGAGTCTTTCTTCATCTTTCATTCAGGCCTCTGGAAGCTGCATGAAGTGACAATCTCTCTTGAGGAAGCAAAGCTAAATTTCTTTAAGAGTGCACAGAGTTTTGTCAATTGATCTTATTTCTATGACTAAACATCTGCTCTAATAGTTGCTTCCGATAGTTGAGTTTACCTAGATATAAGACAAAAATTTTAAAGTCAGATCCCAACATTTTCTTTTCAAAAGCTTTCCATTTATGAAAGCATTTTACCCTTAAATCTCCCCAACATCAGTACTAAGTGTAATAGTTCCAGTCTCTCGCTGTGTCACGTCCCTGTGTAAAACGTATTAAGTGACAATTTCTATGATTTATCAGTAGTTCAGAGACAAAAGCTAACCTTGAAAGCATTCTTACCAATCGATCCTTTCCAAGGTATCCAGCTGTATCCCAAGTCTCTGTCCAGGCCTACCTCTCCCATCCTCTCTCTCTGCCTCTCCCCACTAAATTTATGAAATAATAGCTATCTCCATCTTCTCTTATCCTCTCTCTTACTCTTCCAGGCAATCCTAAACATTTATCAGCTAACCTCGGGACATGACATAAGATTATCCAAACAAGGAAAAAAAAAAACTTAGAAGGGAAAAACAAGATAATAAAAACTTATAAGCTAAAAATATAGAAAGTAAATAAACAAAGATTCATCTTATGTTTTCACATTTTGAGTTTGATAATTTAATAGCAACTTATGGCAAATTTTATTAGATTCTTCAGTTAAATACACAAACTGTATTCATTCATTCCCTCTGTATAGAGCCATATAAAATCAGATAGCAGAAGTTAGGGGTATCTAAAACAAACCCCCCTAAGTAATAAAGTTAAGTAAAAACTTCTAGGGAAACCAAAACTTCTATGTGTATTATTATCATTTAGAAGGATAAATGGCAAACAAATGGAAGTTTCAGATTCTACTTTAGTTGTATTGTCCCAGGGCTCCTATTTATCATGTCCACGAAGGAGTTCTTGGGGAGTGAAACTGCTGGGTGGGAGATACCTCTTTTCTGAGTCATTAACCACACCCCTGTACCTCACCCTGGATTCTCGAAATGTTTTAGTGAGTTCACCATCCAGTGATGTTGGGGCCTTTGGAAGAGCTGACTTTCTTGGCACTTTATTTGTCTTGTGAAAATATTTTTAGCCAAGTGCTGTATTGGTTTGATTAAACTTCATTCCTGAAATTTCATTTTTAAAGAAAACTTTTTTTTTAATTGTATGAGGTCACCCTGACAAGTCAACCTCATAGTTTATTTAATAAGGGTATATGGTTCAAAGTAATTATTATTTTTTTTTGGAATTAAGGCCTTCTTATCAATCGTGTGTGGAGAGTTAAGGAAAAGAGTTTCTTGTTTGTGGTGACTTTTTATATTGGTAAAATTTAAAACTTAAAGGGAAGTTTCTAAAGTAAGCAGATTATTCTCCTCTTTACCAGATCCACCAAATGTTGACATCCTCTGCCTCTTGACATTCCTCTCTGTCCTTTCTTCCCTCTAGCTCCCCCCTCCCCCATCTCATGGATGTGTGTGTGTGTGTGTGTGTGTGTGTGTGTGTGTGTGTGTGTGTATTTTTTCCCCTTTCCAAACCATATTTGAGTAGTTTGGAGGAGGTACCATGATCCTCCTGCTACTTCAGTTTATATTTCCCAAAGTCAAAGATATTTTCTCCCATAACCACAATACAGTGACATCATGGTGAAAAAAGAGAAATTTAACATTTATATTATGTTTATCTAATTCACATTCATGTTCAAGTTGTGTCAATTCCCCCCACCAATAATATCCTTTTTAACCACAACCCATGTAGGATCCAATCCAGTCTTGCATTGCATTTAATTGTCATATTTCAACCCCCCAGGAAAAGATTTTTAAGTAAATAACCTTAAATTACCAAGGATCTCAAAATGTCTTCTGGCTGGATGTCTATAGAAGGATCCTGTAAAAGGGAGACTCATAAATTAGATAATGGAGAAGTCCACTTTCAGGATTGCTTCACTGCTGCTTGACAGGAAGAAAGTCTCCTTTCCTCTATCACCCTCCATCCTGCCAGGCCATTAAGAAAATGACCTTTGCCAATTTCTATTCTCACTCTCTCCTTCATGAATCTGAAAGTTGTTTTTTTTTTTTTTTTTGCGGGGGGCGGGGTCATTAAGGATGCTAAATTCCCATGTGGATGGAAAGTTAAGGAGGACAAAAGTTCCCAAGCCCCTGGGATGCATTTCCTTGAGGGCTCTCTGATATAGCCCTCCCCCGCTGTCAGGGAGAGGCCCTTCGAGACTTGGTCTATGGTGACTTTTTATCCAAGGAAAGCTCCTTGGGAAGGAAGAGAAGCTGGGGAAACTGGCAGAAGTTAAGAAGTGCTCAGTTGCAGTCTGAAAGCAAATGCCCTAGCAGAAATGGCACTCCTCAGGTCTAAGAAGGTTGAAAGCAAATAGGCAAACCCAAGAGGCATGTATCTTCAGAAACCAGGCCCCCTCCCCGAATTTTTTTTTTTTTTTAGTACCAAGGATTGAGCTCAGGGGAATTCCACCCCTGAACCACATTCCCAGCCCTATTTTGTATTTCATTTAGAGACAGAGTCTCAGTGACTTGCTTAGCACCTTGCTTTTGTTGAGGTTGGCTTTGAACTTGAGATCCTCCTGTCTCAAACTCCCAAACTGCCCAAATTGTTGAAAGCAGTTTTAAAGTAGAAGTATTATATACGTAGGTTGTGTCTCCAGGACAGGTCATCCTCAGTGTTGATATATTATGACTTGTAGCCATTTCCATGGGCTGCCTGGATGCTTCCTTGCCTGTGCGACATCATTGCTATAGAAGAAAGCATGAGAGCCCCTGGGAGCCTCGTAGCACACCTCTTTTCCTAATCAGCTTCCCCTGCTTTATAACTGACCTGGCTCCTTGTGAGCTTACATGGATCAAGTTTCAGATCATGCCCTTTGTGAGCACAGAGGGATAAAATCCACCAGTTAACCCAAGTTTTACCTAGCTGGGCAGAAGAGAGCAACTTTATCATGTTTTTGGCCCGTCTTTTCACTCAGGAAATGATACAGGCTCAAGTTTACACCTCTCTCGTTTCTCTCTCTTATTTTCCTTTCTATGCATTTTATGGACAGTGGGTCACAGAAAGTCCGGAAAGCCAGATGACGATCGAGGAAAGGAAGCACCTCATCTCTGTGCGAGAGGAGGCCTGGAAGACCAAGGGCAGGGGGGCCGCCAACGACTCCACCCAGTTCACTGTGGCTGGCAAAATGGTGAAGAAAGGTGAGAGCCTGTGTGTGTGTCTGTGTGTGTGTGTATGCACGTGCACACACATGAACACACATGTGAGCACGTTCACCATGAAGGTGAGGTGATGTGTGTAAAATATCAGTAAAAAAAAAAAAAAATCTGTGGTCTTTTTAAATGCTTAACCTTCCTAGCATTGTGTAAATGTCTCCTGGGTAGCATTTGTGGAATATTGCTACTGATGGCCTTTCTTCATGGTTTGTGTCATCTTCAATGAAATAAGTATAATTTAGTTTTTCACTATTTCAAAACTTACCCACTTGGAATTTGAGTGCAATTATAGGTTTCAAAAGCAATTGCCAATCTGCTAACAAATCTTGGCCCATTCCCATAATTACTTTTAAATTGTTTCTGCTTTCTTGTGCCCTGGCATCTGGTAACAACAAGTAAGTCTTTAGCAGTAAAGGAGTCTATCTCCTCTACCTTTTAAGCTAATTCTTGGGTTCCTTTCCATCAAACCAGACTTTTCTGGCTTACAAAGTCAGTTTCCAGATATGCTTAATAGATGTCTAAAAGATGTCTTCATTTCCAAGAAAAGGGGTTGGGGTATGGGGATTCCTTGCAGTCAGCCATTTCTCTGAAGCAGAGGAGTTAAACTGCTTGGAAACCTATATCCAAAGACATGAAGTTGACATATCATGTGGTTGGTAGCGTTGCTGGAGAGCTTTGAGACCCAATGGGAATGTTTGAGACTTTATTTTATATCCAGAAAGTTTTGGTTAAATTTTGGTTTCCTTTTGTCACCTCTATGTACAAATTTACAAGCTATTCTCTGGGGGGTTTTTTGTTTGTTTGTTTGTTTTGTTTTGTTTTGGTTTTTTGTTTTTTTGTTTTGGTGTCAGGAGAGGACCAGGGATTGAACTCAGGGGCACTCAAACACTGAGTTGTATTCCCAGCCCTATTTTGTATTTTATTTAAAGACAGGGTCTCACTGGGTTTTCCAGTGTCTCGCTGTTGCTGAGGCTGGTTTTGAACTTGAGATCCTCCCGCCTCAGCCTCCCTAGCTGCTGGAATTACAGGCAATGCATCATTGTGCTCTGCAATTTCTAAGCTATTTTCTAAAATAAAATTTCCTGAGTTAATGGTAAAAGATTTAACATTCACGTAGTCTTAACATTAGTATGTTTTTGTCAACTTTGTAGGTTTCACTTTAGAGATCCTCACTCTGATGAATAAAAATCCCGACTCACTGTGGACACATAATAAATGTTTGCAGAAAAAAAGGAGCAAGGGAGGGAGCAGTAACCCCTGAGTTGGAGTTGTGATTAACTCAAATCTTAGTGAAAGAATCCTTTCTAGCAAATCTATTCTTACTTAATCCTAGAATTGTCCACGGACAGCAGAAGACAATTTACTCTTGCAGAATGAGGTAGTATTTGACTATTTTTGTTTATCAAATCACAGGACTGTATAATCATGTTTAAACTAGTTTAGTATGAGCCCCATCCCTTCATTTTACAAAAGCAAACCCTTGGGTGATAAAAACAAATCCTTGGGTGCACATTGATTAAATATAACTGGAGCTGAGAACTTGAAACACAGCTCAAGTCTTCCAACTTCTAGCTCCAGATTTATCCCAATGACTTTTTTCTTTGGTTTCTTTTTCCCTCTCCAATCTTAAGAGTCATATTTTATTTTTAAGTAGGCTCTTCTTACCAAATAACTTTGACCCTGTGTCCTTGTTTACATTGATGTCAGAGGAAATAGATTTACTCTTATGCAGGTTTGAATAATGAATAGTTCCTACTCCTCAGTAGATGAGTTTGCTTTCCCATTTTCCTGAATAAATCTGGGATATTTATTTAAAACACAAGGTTTATTCAATAAATAATTTTCTTACATTTTTAATCTACTGAAATGAAAAAAAAAACTATATCCTATTTTTTTAAATATTTGTTACAATTTAATGGTTTCACTTTAACCATTAGCCTTTTTTTTCTTTTCTTTTTTTTTTTTTTTTGAGGTCCTGGGGACCAAACCCAGGGCCTTGTATATGCAACGCAAGATCTCTGAGCTATGTCCCCAGCCCTCAACCATTATATCCACTACCACTTTTTGATTTACAATAATATGGCATCCAGTTTACATTGACTACAGAATAAAATATCCCCTTATAAGACAACCACAGAGACTTCCCATCTCACAAGTTCTAATGGTACCTGCAGCAACCAACTAGGAGTTACCACCTATCAGCAAGGCATGCTGGACTCTATTTTCATGATCTCACCCTGGGAAGCTCTTGGTACCTCTTACCTCATTAGAACCTTCTCTCTTGCAGTAGAAGGTGAAAGAGAGTGAAGGAGAAAGGAAGGGAAAAGGTATTTAATGACTGAGGAGCAATATTGGCCAAATTATATTGTCATATTATTATATTGTCTACATGTACAAACATGTAAGAGCAAATCCCATCGTTGTGCACAACTATAATGAACCAATAAAAAATAGGCGGGGGGGACCTTCTGCCTGTGCATAGCCCTACGTTCCATGTAACAACCAGCTCCCCACAAGGTTTCTGTAGTGGCCTAGGATCATCCTGGAAAAAGGATACTCAACCCATGCCTTTGAATAAGAGATGTAAAAATGTTTCCAAAGGTCACTTGCATATTGCTTCTAGAATTAATTAAAAAGATGTATGAGGGAAGGCTTCAGTTTTTTTTTTTTTTTTTTAACATTTTGTCATTTAAATATGTACACCCTGCTTCCTTAAAGCAAAATCCTTAATCCTTAGCTGGGAGAGCCTGGTAGCCCTTTTGTGCACTAGCATCCAATGGGCAGCAGGGGGCACCATAGCAGAGGGATTTCCCGGGTACCCAGACAGTAGAAAGGGAAGATTTTGCAGGCTACTTTGGAAATACAGGCTTCCAAGTCAGTCCTCTTTATTAGCTTTAGAGTTAATGACCTCTGCGCTAGTGAATTCTCCTAACATCTTTTAAGCATCTCTTCAGTAGTTAATGATTTTCTGCCCCATTCTGGCAGAAATTTTCAAGAAAGTCTACTTTCTCATTGATATAAACCCTTTGCAGGTCTGGCAATTGAAACAAATTTTTAAATATATGTACATATATTCACAAATATATATATGCAAATATATGTATATATTGAGCAGTGTTTTCAGAATATTACCTAAACTTAAGTTGTAAGCCACTTCTTGGTGTTTTGCCTTAAATTTTTTTATGCTATAGTACTTTTCCAGCTGACAGGAGGAAGGAGCAGAGTCATTCACTTTGCTTGTAAGTGATAGTGATTTACAGTATCCTCCGATTGTTTCCAGGGGATGCATAAAGGGGCAATGTCATCCAAAGATTTCACATTTGTTATGAAAGAATGCAAAGAACATTAACATCTCATTTTGTTCCTTATAAATGCACTAATTACTTCCTTTCTCAGTTCTTTCTACTTAGGTTAGGAAAAAAAAATACTTGTTTTCTCTTTATCAAGTTTTCTGGTTCCAGCAAGATATCTTCTTTGATGTTGAAATATGCCCTTTTAAAGATTACCCACCTGCATCTCAATCAACAATATGAGAAAACCCATTTCCAGTTTCCAGCCACATCTGAGCTGGGAATGGCCCTCCAACATCAGTTTAAATGCATAGTCTCCATATCTTTCTTCTGACTGGTCAGCACTCTGGGTGACTGACTGTGGAATACCCACAAGGATAGACTGTTCTTGCCTCCCCTCAGCCTGGAGGAAAACACCAGTGCTGGAACCACTTGCTGGCTAATGTGAAATAATTTACTCTGTTTCCTCCATGGAAGATAATGCAAATATACTTTCTCTTCAGTGGCCCCTGACACTCCAAAATGGCCTTGAGAACTCATAATTCCATTTGTTCAAGAATATTCTGTTTTTTACATATCAACATGTTTTTTACATCTTCATGGTTCATTTTGAAATATCAGCTTGCTGGCTCCTTAGTTCTTAGATGTAATAAAAATTTTCTCTATAGTTGCATTTGTCCTGCATGGTCATGGTACCTGCCCAATGTACGTGCATGTATGTACACATGGATGCATGGACATGGATTATTATAAGTTGTACAATTTATGCTAGGACTCATGGAGATGCATCAGGGTCACAGAATTTAGAGAAGTAATTTTAAGATGCTAAATCAATTGCTCCTCGTTTGTTCTGCAGGTTTAGCATCACCCACGGCCATAACTCCAGTAGCATCCCCTATTTGCAATAAATCAAGGGGTACTACGCCAGTTACCAAACCCCAAGAAGGTGAGTCACCAAGGTGCCCAGTATGTCTTGAGTTTTTGATCAGAAGAGTCCTCATGACCTTTCTCACTGATGGTTTCTACGTGCTTAGATATTGAAGCCAGACCAGATATGCAGTTGGAATCAGACTTGAAGTTGGACAGGCTGGAAACCTTTCTAAGGAGGCTGAATAACAAAGGTACATACCAGAAGCCAGAAGGGAGATGGAGGGTTAGGGTTAAATCCTTATAGCACATCAAGATTTGTATTTTTAATGATTTACTAAGAAAACCTTAAAGACCTGCTTCTCTCTTAAAATCTCTAAATCTTAATTGTTTGCTTTTTCAACTCAAATAAATTGTCTTCTTTCTAGTATAGCTTTACTAATTCATATTGTAAGCATTTTCCTTGTTGTTATCATTCAAAAACTGAAATTTGATCAAGACCAATTAGATTATCAAGCTGTGATTCCCCTGGTCATATATTAAATTGGGGACACCCCAATTTAATAAAAAAATATTTTTTTTCCTGAATCTAAACCTTGGGATGTTATCCAGTCAGAATTGTGAACTGAGTAAATTTTACTTTTAACCCTGAACTCGTTCGTATTGATATACCTATGCAAAATCAACATGATCTTGGGTAAACTGTAAATTGCATATATTAATTTCTAATTGGTTAAAAGCTCATATTCTTTCCTACATTCACAAGGATTTCTAAAAGAAAATCCTAGTGAATAGATATTTAAATAAATATTTCAATACAAAAGTCAATGAAAGTCCAAAAAAATAATAATATGCAAAAATAGCCATTTATCACTTGATAAAGCATGTCTAGAATTGCAACTTATCAAATCCAGACATGGGAGGCCAATGCTTTTGACAATACCTCTAAAAGCTTGAAAAAACAACCATTATAAACCGAAGACATGAAAGTTTAATACACTAACTAAACTGGCTAAGCAAGGAATCCTAAGAGTGAAATGTTTATTGAATACAGGTAACAGTAATCTAGCTTGTGGATCAGCCAACGGTTATCAAGGCCAAGTCGCACTCTTCACCTGTTTTTATAAATAAAGTTTTATTGGAACACAGCTGTGTTCATTTGTGACCTGATTGTCAGGAACCCCTTTGGCACTATCAGGGCAGAACTGAGTGGATGTAACATAGGCCATGTGAGTCCCCAGGCAAAGGCTAAAATATTTATCGCTGGTCCTTTGCAGAAAGTTTGCTGATCCCTAATATGGAATTAGGCTGAGATTAGTTGTCCCACCAACAGAAAGAGGTCAGGAACAAAAATGCTCAGTGGGCTTGTGTGGCACAAGTTCAGCCTCCCTCCTCCCACCATTGCACTGTGCCAGGTTTATGTAGGTGGGAAGTCCTTACGAGAGAAGTCAGGTAAGGGCCCAGCAAGCACCCTGAGGATCACATGCATTACTATCCTGTTTTCTCTACTCCTGGAATTTGGGGAAGGCAGATACTTTTTGAAATACTGTAAGTTTTTGTCAAAGCAACTGTTTTGACCAAATTCATATTTTTTTTTTTTGCTTATTTATTGATAGTTGGTGGGATGCAGGAAACGATTCTCACCGTCACCCGTAAATCTGTTAAGGAGGTGATGAAGTTGGATGATGATGAAACCTTTGCCAAATTTTACCGCAGCGTGGATTGTAATACACCAAAAAGTCCTGTGGAGCTGCAGGAGGACTTTGATGTTATTTTTGATCCTTTTGCACCCAAGTGAGTTATTTCCATCTCCGTCTCCCCTCCACTGGCAAGGGCGTCCTTCCCCTGCGTCCACACAGTCCTTTCTCAGGGAATGTTGTCACCGTGTTATCTTCTCTGAAGTCATTACAACCTCAGTGTTTCTCTAGAGCCAGGTGCATCCTTCTGCCGAGCAATAAAACAGGCATGCTCTGGACCAGATGTGTGTTTGGATAGACCATGTGTATCACAGATGTTTGCCCTATGCCATAAGAGTGGTGTTAGTGGACTTTTTCACATCGCTTGAATATTATTTTGCAGTTTTTTAGTTTAACATAAATTAGCAGATATTTCTATACCTCTCTCCTTTGACACATTGGATACCTATTCATCACTGAAAACTATATGGATGATATGAGCTTAGATTAGTACAAATAACTAGAATATCATAGGAAGAATGTTACCTATCTTCCCATAATATATAAAATCAATAGATCTTAGGGTTTTCTCAGTAATTTATTCACATGAAAACATGACTAAACCACCTAAGAAAAGTTCTTTTGAAATTAGGATTCTATCAGTTGCAATTGCCAGAAAAACACCTAAGTCAAACTGACTTTAGCAAAAGAAAGGCCTAGAGAGATTTACAGGTTCACATTACTGGGAAGTGCAGGTGTGACCTCAAGTTAGGAGGCCCCTCAGAACGCAGTCCCTCTCATAGCTGTTCTCCCTTGAGCTTTTCCATTCTTGGCAGAGCTGTAACCAGGGGATGGAAGGTGGCCACCCCAAGCTCTGAATTTACAGGTCACTTCTTTGGCCAACTCAACACAGGCAGCTTTTTTTCCCAGTCATTCCAGCAGAAGTTCCAGGTTTAGTTTTCATTGGATCCTAAGTCCATCCCTAAGGCCTTCATCACAGCCAAAGAGATGCTGATTGGTCAGAGCCAGTTATAGAGCTCCTCAGAGCCAGGGTAGGGGTGAGGTGAGGTGGTTGGCCCTAGGGAAAACCCAGATGCTGTTAGCAGAACCCGGCAGCCCTGCTGGCCCTGCTACAGCACAGCAACCCATCACATCTCTTCTAGAAATCAGTGTAGTCACAAAGTTTTTCTGTATGCCACTCCTGATACACTCCTGATACATATTTTGTATATGTTCACGTTTATATTTTTGCATATGTGCACATTTATATTTCCTACCTTAAAAAATAAGCAGTTTGCCATTTTCCACCTTAAAATAATATTTGGGGTATTTGTATACATGGTTATCTAGCCATTTCTCAACCTTCACTCAATTGTCATTGTTTAAATTTTTATAAATAATAATTCAAACACTTATATTTATAAACAGAGAGGCAGTGGTATTATAAGAAAGAATTTCAGGCATAGGGACCCATGCTCTTGGAATTTGAGAGTAGCAGTGAGACTGTGCTGGGACATCATATTCTCTAAATTGGGGAGAATATTCTGAGAATAAATACCTTCTCCAACCTAATATGTGCTGTGGGGGCACAGTGTGGTACCACTGTCATTTCTGAGTAAACATGCCAATGACCAGGAAGAGAACATTTTCAATAATAAATAGACCACCACCTCCCAGGCTGGGCATTAGCCCACAGATTTGTGAAAGCGTGGTGACATGTCACAGATGATTTTTCAGGCCTATTTTATTTCAATACACTTTTCAGAATTGGGGCTACTTTTCTCTAGGGACCCGTGGCTTCCACAGAAGCTAGCCACTGAGGGATGGTGAGTGAACTGGAAAGCTATTTTGTAAAGAGAAACTTTAGTCTGGAGCAAGGAGGATTGAATGGCGGGGCAATGGTTGTCTGCAGGTAATGCAAAGGTAGACAGGGGTGTATAATTCCGAAGAGAGAATTAGGACATGGGCATGAGAAGGAGAACCCTAACTTCAGAGCTGCCTAAGTGATGGAGTGAGCTGCCGGGTGAAGCACAGGGAGACCCTGCAGGCGGAGACCAGGGCACGTGAGTGGGCGGGGCTTCTGGGATTGTCCAGGATCTTGAACTCAGGCTGGACTCTCCCTCCCACCTCCAAGTTCTGTGAATACACATCAGAGGAGTGGTAGTGGGCCGAACAGTAAGATTATAATGAAAGATTTATAATTGTGGAGCCCATTGCTGTAGATACAAGAAACACAAACTGGTGTGGCTGATATTACAGACTAAGAAGCAGCTGTGCTTCGCCCCACAGGTTGACGTCTTCCGTGGCTGAGCACAAGCGAGCTGTGAGACCCAAACGCCGAGTCCAGGCTTCCAAGAACCCCCTGAAAATGCTGGCAGCAAGAGAGGATCTCCTTCAGGAGTACACTGAGCAGAGATTAAACGTTGCCTTCATGGAGTCAAAGAGGATGAAAGTAGAAAAGAGTGGGTATTCCGAACCCTGCACTTGGGACCTGAGTATCATTTAATCATTTCCTGTTTAAAGGTGCTCAAAGGACACCAATTAAGTATGGGTAATTTAAGTTATTCTTGAGTTTTGTCTCAAGAAGTTGGAGGAAAAAGGTTTTCTGCCCATTCAATTTCAGTCCCATAGAGAGAATCTCAACACAATAATTCTCCACTTTTAAGGGCACACTATTTATTTGATCTCTTATGAGAAAACATCCCAAGCTACTGTTTTTCCTAATCCTAGATATACATATATATTTAACACACAAAGCAATGCTTTCCTTTTGTCCTTGACAGAGGCCCCTCAGGCTGCCGGAGTTGAGATAGGGGTTACTTGGGTGGGAGGGTCACAAGTGGAGAGTGAGCTGGTGGGCTGCTGCCTCCACTTCACACCAAGCGTCTCTCCTGTTATCTACCCTATAATGTGGGATTCATTGCTCTGAAATAGTGATTTTCATGGTGAAGGTAATGGCAGGCATATCTTGATATTTTGAATATTCTCACTACATTTTTTATTTCCCTGTAGCATTCATAAACCAATTTCCTCAAGTTTTTCTTAGAAATATAATATTTAGATGAAGTGAGTTTTTTTCATTATAATACTAAGGAATTATGAAGTATCAAGTTATATTTCTTTAGCATTAGATCATAATCCCAGTGAAATAATTTTCTGAATTTTGCTTCAACATATGTTTTTTGTTTGTTTGGTTAGTTGGTTTTTATACTGAGGATTGAACTCAGGGATGCTTAACCACGGAGCAACATCCCCAGTCCTTTTCTAAATATATTATTTAGAGACAGGGTCTCGCTGAGTTCCTTAGGGCCTTGCTAAATTGCTGAGGCTGGCCTTCAACTCACTTTCCTCCTGCCTCAGCCTGCCAAGATGCTGGGATTACAGACGTGCACCATCACCCCCAGCTCAGCATATACATTTTTTTAAAGCAATGAATTGGAGAAATCAAGATCTATTTTCACATATTTTACATACTTTTTCTACTACCTCCATTTTTATGGGGCTCAGAGGATGGCTTTATGAAGACCATTTGATCCACACATATTTGTTAGTCCAGCATCTTGTAATTACAGTCTTAGGTCCAAGAGTGGAGGACCTCAAGATCATCTAGTTGATTACTGCCTCCCGAGAAGGGTTAGATCCGAATGCTCCCTTATAGTGTTGACTTTTCTGCATATCAAGACTTTTGGTGAAAGCCATCAATAAATAGTCTTCCTTGGGAATACATCCAGCATCTACCAGTTATTAGGAATTATAACAGCTTTCAGTGGAACTGGAACAAATGAGTTCAATACCTACTTTTATACAAAGTGGCTGGTCCTCTTTGCCACTCATTTGTCCCTCTGCATAGTGAGGTGTGACACTTGTTAATAAGCAGTTTATTCTTTTATACCATATACTTACACTGCATATTTAGTTATTTACATAGTGATCGAGTATTGAATTGCACAGATAATCAAACTAGATCACGTGTACCTGTCAGATCAATTTTCAAAGACAAAAGTAGTGAGTCAGGAATAATTTCTGATTTGTGAAGACTGTCACCTTATCCAAACGTATTGCTTCCCTCTGTGCTACTTTCTCTCTTTGACCCGCCCAGTGTCCTCCAACTCCAACTTCACAGAAGCTACTCTGGCTGGCTTAGCCAGTAAGGAGAACTTTAGCAGCGTCATCCTGCGGAGCGTCAACCTGACGGAGCAGAATTCTAACAACAGCGCGGTGCCCTATAAGAAGCTGATGTTGTTACAGATCAAAGGTACCTCTGAGCCACACAGAGAAATGACATGCTTACCCACGCTGACCAGTAGTTTCTGTCTGGTCCTGACTGCTCCCTTTGTCACCTGTGAGGGGAAGGGCCTGCGTGTGTTCTGAGACTACCCTGGACCAAGTTGTCTGCTACCTCCTCTCTCTTCAGTGTCACAGAATCCCATAATGCAAGAATTCTCTGCTCGAAGGGACTGAGAGGCTGGTAATGTGCTGAAGGTCACGGCCGCTACAGAGTGGCAGAGCTGGAGTGGAATCAGTGGAGATTCTTCCTCTTCCAGCATCTCTTTGCTTTTGCTTCTGCTTTCTCTGGCACCATGGCACCATGGCCCATGCCCTAATACTGCCATGTAGCCACCAGATGTGCCCTAAGTCCACCCTCTGTTCGGTTCTCCTTACTGAGCTAAGGACCCATGCAGGCCAGAAGGAGGAGAGCACATTACTGGGGCAGGAATCAAGTGAAAGCAGAAGCAAATGAGGCAGAGCAGATTTTACTCTCCTGCCTTTTTTATCCACAGCCAGCCAGAGACTCAGAAGACCACAGGGAGGCCCTGGGCTGGGAAGAGAGAGGCTTCGCTGCCTCCTCGTAGCAACCCCTGTAGATGGGTCATTGCGAGAAGGATGGATAAACTATCCTCTGTCTCTGCCTGGGTTTCCTATGTGTATCTGCAAAACCACCGTCCTTTTTAGTGTATTTAAAAGACTGGTGACCAGCTCCAATAGCCAGTCTCTGTTCCTGTGGTCTAAACTAGAGACCATGCCATGTGTGTGATTGTGGATAGCTTGAAATCAATCATGTAGGAAAAGGTATTGAAAACTCCACAGGAAAGAGATCCTATAGAAAGGCCTGCCCTTCCCTGGAACACAGCCAGAGATATCAAGGGTAGGAAGTGGGCTGGGTGGAAAGCTCTAGGAGAGTAAAGAAGAGGAAAAGGAGCACGTTTGCCAATTTCACTGGAGGAGGGAACCTTAATGCATCCACGAACATACTATACAAAGACACGGACAAAGGTCCTAGGAAGCATGGTGACATTTGGGAAAGCTAGGGGAATTCATTGAATGCTATCTTCCTGTTGCCCCTTGGATATTCCTCTCCATGCCACCCAGGGTTAGGAGAGGTCCTTTAGTAGACAAGAGTTCTTACCCTTGTGGCAGTGATGCTTGAGCCGTGGATGTGTCCTAGCCCCAGTCTTGTGTGGGCAAACGGTGACTCTGGGCCTCCTGTTCAGGAAGAAGACACGTACAGACAAGGCTGGTGGAACCCCGCGCCTCGTCACTCAACAGCGGGGACTGCTTCCTTCTGCTCTCTCCCCAGTTCTGCTTCCTATGGGTGGGAGAGTTCGCAAACGTCATTGAGAAGGCAAAGGTGGGTGTCTGCATGAGAAATTGCTTTAGTTAATGCCTAAAACCAGATCCAGTTGGTGGGTGTTTCATTTCAGTGAGAACAGACAGGTAGTATATCCTCTTGAATGTCTCTCAAAGGTGCTTTCGTGAGGGCTGAAGTAGAATTTTCCAGAAGGACTGTAACCTCTGCCTCCAGTATTAAAGTCCTGGATTTATTCCTATTCCTGTGTTTAAAAGGAACGAGTACCAATTTAAAGCCCTTTATCCCAGATCCTTAAGAAGTTCTGCCACAGGCCTTTTGAATGAGAATCTCAAAAACAGTAAAGCCCAAGGAAAAGGTAGTTTTCAAAAGCATCAGATGTGACCTATTGAATATTAAAGATTGAGAACTCCTGCTATGTGCCTCTCCATCCAGCCACAGACTTTTCTAGCCAGGTAATTATGTTTCTCTCTTTGTTTAGGCTTCAGAACTTGCAACTTTAATTCAGACAAAGAGGGAACTTGGTTGTAGAGCTACATACATCCAGACCTTAGAAGAAGGAATTAATACACACACTCACGCAGCCAAAGACTTCTGGAAGCTCCTAGGTGGCCAAACCAGTTACCAAGGTAAGAACCGACTGTATTTCAGAAATCAATAAAACTTGACTTTCCTTTCTTCTCCCTGAATCTATTCTTCTAAAGCAGCAAGTTTCCGATGTTAAATATGATGCTCTCCTATTATTCCCATCCCGAAGGTGCTGGAGACCCTAAAGAAGATGAGCTGTACGAGACAGCCATAATAGAAACAAACTGTATTTACCGTTTGATGGATGACAAACTTGTTCCTGATGATAACTACTGGGGGAAAATCCCAAAGTGCTCCCTTCTGCAACAAAAAGAGGTACAGTGCTTCAATAAGAGCACACCTAGAGCACTCTGCACAGGGCCGCCCCACAACATAGTCAGGAAGTGCCCAGGAAAGGTTAGCTGGAGTTAGTGCCGGTTGTCAAACACAGCAGCTATTTAGAGGATGTTTATTTGGAATTTTAAACCATTACTGCCATCTGAAATACTAATACAGAATTCAGAATATTGTGCCAAAATGGCATGGATTATTAAAGGCTTTTATACTTTAGGCAAAATGGAAGCATTGCTTAGCCCTGTCTCTTGAATTTTGTATAAAGATTAAATAAAACATTTTTTAGTCCTTAAGTTCCAGAAATAATATATTGATATATATTTAATTTATGGATTTGCCAGGTAATGTGATTTTTTTCCCACTCACACCAGTAAGTATTTATTCATCACATACATTTCTAAAAACAATAAGTATTCTAGGTGTTGAGAAAAAAGCAGAAGATACAAAAGGACCTTGAATTTCATTGGGTTTCAGAAGCACATTAGAAAGATTAGAATCCAAAGCTGAGTTGGGTAGATGATATGTATGGGCATGAAAGTGGGAGTAAAAAAAGGCATGGAAAAATAAACAATGAGGAATAACATTTTAAAGAAACTTATCCTAGTTTAGAGTTAAGTAGAGCTCAGATGACTGGAAATGAAGGAAGAAACTTCTCAGAAGAAAAAGTTGTACACAGTTACAGGCATGGAAACGAGAAATGGCTTTACATTCATGTATTCGTTCAGCAAACGCTCAGGAGTAAGCCCTTACCGTAAATATGATATGATCTATGCCCTTAAGGATGTTGGATTGTAGGTGAGAGAGAAGACTTCATTGGATCATCAGTATCTGGCACGTATGAAGCAAATGAATGAACAAGTGAGGGAGGGAGAAACAAAAGGGAGAGGGAGAAAGAAGATAAAAGAGAATACTCAAATAACTCCTTTATGAATCGGACATCTTAAGTGGTTTGAGAGTTCAGAGAAGGAATCATTAATTTGGGCATTTAGAACAACAGGAGGAAATTATACCCCCGCCACCGCCCCACCAACCCCAGGGCCAGAGGCTGGCTTGGCAGGGTGATGCCAGCTGGTCAGATCTTGTGACCTTCTTGAGTTTATATGGGTTGCCCCATTAGGCTTTGTCATCACCCATTTGACTCACTGTCTTTGGAGACCTGACTCAGCTGGAGCATATCCTTGAAGTGAGCAAATTCTTTTGTGCCATTTCCCCAGGTCCTGGTGTTTGACTTTGGTAGTGAAGTTTACGTGTGGCATGGGAAAGAAGTCACCTTAGCACAGCGCAAAATAGCATTTCAGCTGGCAAAGCACTTGTGGAATGGAACCTTCGACTATGAGAATTGTGACATCAATCCACTGGATCCTGGAGAATGCAATCCACTTATTCCCAGGTATTCCCGCGGTCCACATGCAGCATGTAGAGTGAGCAGAATTCCTGTGCAGGCTCGGTTCACGGTCACCTAACTGTCATTCTTTTCATAAAGGTTTCAGTTCTCATGAGTGATTGCATGCCCTGGACTGTGAATATTCACAAAACAAACATTTCTTTAGCTTTTATCTAACTAATAGAGAACTATGGATTTTGTAGTCTTAAGGAAGATGTTTGTGTTGCATTTAAGTTTTTGAAGTAGACAAATAGTTTCCCCCTGTAGCATTCCAGGTACTGTTGCAGCAGACGAGTAGCAATTGTTTAAACAAATTTCCTGCCAATCTGAAAAGCTTCCCAGAATCTGCAGTTTTGCCAAAGATCTGAAGGTCCAAAGCTATTTGTTTCCTTCTGATTCCCTATCTTCTCAGCGTAGCATTTGAGTCCCAAGAGTTATTTGGCATTTGGCAGTATATATTTGTGCCTTTTGCCTTTTGGGGTGAAGAGAAGGACAAGAATATGGTATTGAAATAATAATTGTAATTTTAATATTCCATGTAGTGCGTTAGACCTTTGAAAGTTGTTTTGGTAAATTCAGAGTATGCACAAACTCTAAGAAATATCATCATGAAAAATAAGAATTCTTACATGCACAAGATTGTTTTTTTTTAAACTACCAGACCCCCCAAAATGATTTAAAGTATTTGTGCTACATAATAATAAAATAGAAATAGATATGCCACCAAACAACATAGAATAATATATAAATTTCAACCTCCCTACCTTGTTTCATGCTTTAAAATTATTGATTTATTATCAGTTTCTCTCTATAATTAAACACTTTTAAATTACATGAATGTCGTAAAAATTTTTTAAATCCTTCTTTAGCAAATGTCCATTTAACATTAGTACTATAACAACCAGTGTTAAGAACTCATTATTATTTTATCTAATTTTATTCTATCTTAAAACATAATTATGAAGCATAGAATCTACATGATGGTCAATTTATATCTAAAAGTGCCATGTTCACAAATCTGAACATGAATGACTCAGCATCTCATTCACTGGTTTCCAGCATCTCAGCAACAGATCACTGGAAGAACTTTAAAAAAAAAAGCATATGCCAGGCCCAGTCCCAGAGAGGTGTCCCCAGCTCTTGAGGGATGGGGCTTCTGTGTCAGTATGGCTTAAAAGCTCCCCAAGGACTTTGAGGTACAAGCAAGATTGTAAACCCAGCCCTTCTCTATAAACAAGGAGGCTAAAATCCTCCAAGTGTGATGTCTCAGCCCTGGGCAAACATGCAAGTCAGGAAGGAGGTAGAGAAACCCACTAACCCCTGCTCCCATGTTTGCCCAGGACTGTTAAGTGAAATCAGCCAGTCTCGGAAAGTCAAGGGTCATGTTTTCTTTCATATGTGGGTAGCTAGAGAGAAGAAAGAAAGAAAAAGAAAACAACAACAACAACAAAAAGGTCTCTTGAAAATGGAAGGGAGACTAATAGAAAGGAAGGGAAGTGGGGGGCAGGGAGAGAGGGGAGTTATTAGGGAATGAAATTGACCAAATTATGTTATATGCATGTATGAATGTGCCACAATGAATCCCACTCTTATGTATAATTACAATGTACCAATGGAAAAATTAAGGGACAAAATGAGAAATGTTAGAAACAGTGCATAGTAGAACACAGAAATTGGTTTGATGGGATAATAGCATCTTGGTCTCAATTCACAATCAAAGATTGGTTTGGAGGGAGAAGAAATACCTACCCATTCTTCTCTGTGCTGTACCCTATATAGCATGTATTTGCTCCAAGCTCTGCCTTTTTCCAATTTACCCGTGTTCTCTGGTACAGAGTCAAATCCTAAAATCCCAAAAGTACACAAACCCTCCTGGATGAGCTGTGCTCTTTCCTGTCCTTGTGCCTTTCCTGTCTGCCACTGTGGCTCCTATGTCCAGGAGCCTAGAAATAAATGTGCAAATTTTCAATTTATGATAGATGAAAGTACAGTCAGTTCATTTTAGAAACAGAAGAATCTCCCTGGAGAGCTTTGTTGTAAGATGGCATAAATTCACAGAGAATTCAGGGTAAGCTCATCGTCCTCGCATTTGTTGGTTAACTGGAGGAACTTGGTGCGCACCTGTATGTAACTGGGTGAAAGTGGGCAAGCAAGATATACATGTGGCTGTGCCTTTGTAGAGCTCCCAGTGTAGTGCACCAGCCCCAAGGGTGTCCCTGACAAGAAATTGTTAGAAGAACTTGCAAGAAAAGCCCAATCCTGATCTGTTTTACCTTCAGGCACATCAGCTCCACAGACACAAAGCCTTGTCAGGCACCAGGCTAAAATAATACCAGATCACCTATTTGGTAAAATAAGTAAAAATAAATCATTCGTTCTATTTACCACCCAATGTATTTTGATTTTTGTTTTCAGTAGACATGTTGCTTTCCTTTGTTTAGCATCGCTGAATCCGAATTCTCTTCTTGTCCACTCCACCCTGCAGAAAAGGACAGGGGCGGCCTGATTGGGCAATATTTGGGAGACTTACTGAACACAATGAAACTATTTTGTTCAAAGAGAAATTTCTTGATTGGACTGAACTGAAGAGACCTACTGAGAAGTGCGCTGGGGATCTTGTCCAGCAGAAGGTATTCCAGGGATCAGTCCTCAAAGGGCTTAACTCGGGTCCTCACACAAGTGGCCTTGATACCAAAAGACTTTGCAGGGGCCACTAAGAGAACAGCAAAATGATTTCCAGTTAAAGTCTGTTGTGATGGGTTCAGGCCTCCCAGAATCCTTCCCCTAAATGCAGCCAAACATTCCTGAAAATCATGGGAAAGCTGCACTTTCACATGGTTCCATTAGCCAGGGACCTACCCCAGTGGTAAAACTCTTGCCTAGCATTTGCAAAGCCTTGGGTTTCATCCCAGCACTGTTTAAATATATA